GTAACGTATTTAAAATTAGATTAAGTAATAATTCAAAATACTGTCCGTCCGAAAAAAATAGAACATAGGAGATTTTATTTTTTAGTTTATGTCTCAAAAATTATAACAATTTTATTATATGTACATAGACATACATTGACATATATATACATATATGTATATATCACTCCAGACTTCTTTGATCCACTTATCATATACTTTTACATTACTATTTTCATTATTATCGTGTGTCACAGTGCATGCTGATGCAATATATAATATAATTTATCCACTTTTTCCTTGTTTATGTTATGTCTTATGATATAAATGTAATAGAATCTAATTAAAAATCCCCCTTATGATTTTGTATCATCTTCTGGTATTTCCCATTTATTACTGATCAGCAGACTTAAGTAAAACATAATCTTCTTAGATATAACATCTAAACCTCTTTACAACTTACTAAAAGACTTGGAATTACTACTAAAGTCTTGGACAAGGGCTTGCCCAGAACTAACCATAATTCATCCTTAGAACGTGTTTCGAAAGCAGTCCTTTTTTTTTTTTTTTGGGGGAGAAATCCGCTTACAGACTACCCACTGCCCTGGCTCGACAGTGGGACTTGTGTGGGGGTCGCCCAGAGCTTGATGTTGTTGGCCCTGGGAATACCCACTAAAACTCCCCGGTTTCCCTTCCTGCCCGTATTTGGGGGCGATTTGGGACCTGCTATGACAATTCACCAATTCACCCCCGGGCTGCCCAGCTCTGTGCCGGGCTACCGCGCCGGTGGGGGATTATCCGGGAGAGCCGAGATAATCCCCAGACGTGTTGACCACGTGCAATGCCTGCATCAGAGCCACTTGATGCAGGCTAGTCGAACCTCCAGGTCGAAGGTTACAGGTTTACCCGTCTCCTGCGACCCGTACGTCTACGCCGGAGGGGATTCGAAAGCAGTCCTAGTAGGATCCTTTCAAAGTTGAAATTTGGACGGTGGAGGTGAGCGTTTAACGCGCGTTAGATAAGAGCCCCTTAAACCTACACCTGAGTCGTAAGTCCCAAGCACTGTGGAAGCTCCTCTCTCTATAACGCAGAGGGACCGGCAGCCGCACTGTAAATACATTTAATGTTGATAGGTTTTGTATCATTTCACAGTCACACATTAATTACATGCTTATATTGGTTATAATAAGTGTCGGAATGGTAAAATTTGTTTTTATCTCATCACAAAGACATATACATTAATACATCATAAGAACTTTCGTACTTATGTTATGGAAAACACAAACCAATACAATGCTACAGCTGAGAATTATTCATATATTTACAGCTTATATTTAAACTACTTAAAGTTAATGAATTCGATAATATACCATCCAACCTTTTCTTACACTCGTTTAATAAAGTCTTGTTAAACTTAATTTAAAAATACTAAAAAATAACCTTGTAAGCGATCGTCGGAATTCAGTCCTCCAAAGTCACAACAAGTGTTCTATTTTGGTCTCGTCTTAAAAACACCTTTCAAAAAAGTTTTATCCTTCTTTTTTGGGACCCGAACCATGCTTTAACTTTTTATTTTATTTTGTATATACTTCTGTATAACTGTTATTAGTATTAACTTTACTAGAAGAAAAAAAAGAGGATGTAGAGCCATTGCTAAGTCTAACCCAAGCAAAATAAAAAACATCTATCAAGCAGAAATGACATTTTGACAGATAACCTAGTAGATATATGTTTAGTATTGTTTTAACATCAAACACAAAACCTTTTATAATATCAACTATAAGTATCCATTCTAAAAAATTGCAATAACTGGTACTCAAAATATTATTCACAGTGTAAATTACCATATAAAAATTACATATAATTATACAAAAATATTAAACTGGATTTATAAAATAAGTGTTCGCTCTTAGGTCTTTTCAGTCTAGGAAATTACATGTGTACTAGAATGTTCTTTTAATTATACATAATAATAATAAACATAACTATTATTAATAATAATAAGTAGTGACTATGAAAAAATACTACGTATATAAGTGGTAGTAGTTATGTTTAAATAAATAAGATTTTTTTATTATACATGCCGTGCAGTCGTAAAGTCAAACTGGTTTGAAATAGGTACTTATGAATTAATATCGCTTATGAGATTCACTTTCGAAAGATCAGCACTTACGATCCACTTCTTTATTGGCTTTAGCAATTTCCTGGAACTCCAAAAAAAAAACAAAATATATACGAAGAAACGAAAAAACTGAAAACTTAAAAAAAATAGACGTAAATAAATGCTTTTCATTTATAAAGACTTTCAACTGTACAAAAATGCGAAATTCATCATCAAAGTATCACACATTAATAACAATATTATAAACTTCTTGTCTAAATTAATTATATAGGAATAACCATTTAGCATATGTCAATAAATTAAAATATTACGTAACTTGTAAATTAAAACTACAATCTTGAAAGTTCCTTTAACATTGTAAACTATTTTTAAGTTATATGAAGTAGTGTCATTGTGATCAATAAATCTACCACTTTAAAATCCAATCATTCATTGAAATACTAAAAATATAAAGCAATGTTTTATTTATGTTGTGTTTAACATTCGTGATTGTTGAAATTAAATTCTTTATTCCATAGTCTTATTGTTAATTTTGAGTTCGTTTTAAATAATGCTAATTAATTAATTGTTTTATACCAAGTAGTTAAGAGACAAAAAATTCTATAATTGGTAAAAAGCAAGGTCTGACTGAACAAATATAGTGTTATTGGCTCGGGTATGGTTATAAATGTTTTTTTTTTACATCATGAAAACGAGTAAACTGCAAGGCGATAACATTTTGAACAACATGATTGAGTTGTAAGCCAGGCAATGCCATCGAAACAAGATAATAAATGTAAATAAAACGTCAATGTTTCATAACACATTCGAGTTAACGATAGTGGTTTATAAACTTGTTGTAGTCAAATTGAATGTAAGCTTTAAATTCTCATCATATTTTACTTCCATTCATACTTACATACTCATTTTCATCGCCATCATATTTTCATTATATGTATATTAGTTCGAAATTCTGCGAAAATCGACTCCGATGAAGTATGACAAAGGAAAGATTTGATGTTATGAATAAATTATATAAATGAAATAACATTCAATTACTACTAATTTGTGATATTTTTAAATATCATCGAAATAGCTATCAGTTGAGATTTATATACTTATTCTCCAATCCCTTTTTCCAACAAAAGATTTTAACCGTTACACCAAAGTAGGTTAAAAATGTGGAGAAATTATGACCCATTTAAAATTATTTATAACCCTACAAACTAATTTTCCTATTTGTCCAAAGCTATTAACGAACTCGACAAATATACCTGTCGTTATTTCAAATGTTATTTTGACATAAATATCATATTGCGTGATGAAAATGAATTTGGCATATTTATTCACTTGGACTATGTCCCAATTACAATTCTATCGATATTAATGTATTCATATATATTTTTTTTATATAAGAAAATTGTTGTTTTTAAATTTTTACTATATTTTATACCCAATATTTTCAATCTGTATTATAAGTCACTTGCAGTATTGCATGTCCGTTAATCCAATATGCATTTAAATTTTGTTATGTTTATTATTCTTATCAGTAAATCATATTATTGTAAAGTTCGAATTACGTCGGAGATTCCATAAAACTACGAAACTTATATGATTATTATAATGAGAATTACATATTAAAACTTATAATATTCTTAAGACTACATGATCGCCCCGATGTTAGAATAGCAATGCCATTCCATAGCTGTGGTATCAGGAATCTTCTGGTTCACACGGCTTAGTGTTCGTTCCGCGGAGTCAGCAGCGTCACTCGTAATATATTTTATCCATACAAAGATGTTGACCCGGCGATGTTCATTTATTTCTTCATATGTATCGCGTACGTAACATTCGCGTGACTGTATATCATATCAAATTGTTTACTCTTTTCATTTATACATATTTATCTTGATATACAAAGAAATTTCACTAAACTATAATTCATCAAAATATATTTTTAATGTCTTTAGATAAATATCTTTGAAATTTATCCGTTATATGTTAATTCCGATACAAAAGTTCGCACATGTATTTACGTTATTATATACGAAGATTTATGAATGAAAAACTTTAAAAGTACCGTATTTTTGACGATCGAAACTTGTGGTAACACTATGCATTTATAATTAAAACAAAATCGACACAAATTTTTATGTTACGACCTATAGAATACGTAAATAAATAATAAGATAAAATATTTTTTAAACACCAATGATGTAAGAAATTATAATAAAATCTAGATATGCTTTATGTAATAAATCCTAATCGATTAACCAATTACATTAAGCTAAACACTTTCTTATCTCTACGTGACAAAGGCCACGATCGGCTATTGAAAATTATTTATCGCTTTACATATTTTAAACCTTATTGCTTTGTAAATAAGATTCAGGATAGTAGTATTGAAATTGTAATTTTACGATTAAAATAATAATATGCAAAAATTGTCTCTTTCAATCTGGCTTTGGCGCCGGATAGACCATTTTTTATTTATTTTTAGTGTTAACTAGTGTCTAGAAGTGAGTTTTTTTTTCATTCATAAATATAGATTTTTGTTATTTTTTTGGATTTTTAATTCGTAAAATTTATGTGATATGATGAATAATAATATATAATCATTAAATAGTATTACCAGAAATTATTTATACAAACCTTGAAAATAATTTCTAAAATAAAACTAATTTTCATTACAAAGATATCTGTAAACTATTTTTTACGTCAAAATTACTATCTTAGCTCGTTTTCAATGACAATTTGAGTAAAGCAATATTTTCTTTCAGAAAAACGAAACAAATGTATACACATATATAATATGTACATAAGAGCAATTTCAATTCTCATTATCACATAGTCGATTCTCATGTATCTTTCATACAATTAATGAGCCTCAAATCTTCTTTTCTTTACAGTGCAATCAAGGATGTGTCCATTATGGCCATTGCACTTGATAGTGTTGTATCTGCTCGTGTTAGGACCTATGTGGGTTCTATGCCAGGCTGCTCCGAATCTCATGGCCACGTATCTGCCAACGGAAGTCGAAGAAGTACACATGGGAGATACCTATTACGTTGATGTTAATGTTACAGGTAAGTAAATTATTTAAAACTTATTATTGGTACCGTCTGAAATGAATTTGAACCTTTTTGGTGCTACATACAGGTTAATTATTAAAAAATTAATACTGACCCGAAGGAACATAAAACCTTTTTGGTGACACAAAAAAGATTTTATTTTTAAAGTTCTAAAGTCGATGGCTTAAAGTGTATAAAAAAAGGTCTTAAAGGAATGTGGTTTTTTATGTTTTTTCTCGATACCTATAATTCGTTTTATGAGAATCGGAATGCAGAAGTTTTAATAAATTAGCATAATGATAATTATTTTTAATAACCTTAAATAAATTCTGATCCAACATTTAATTGGGTTTAAAGTAAATCAAAAATCCTTTTTGGTGACGCTGTTAAAGCCACAAAGCTAACAGCAATAATATAGGTACATTACAAAAAAACGATAATCGGAATTTGCTTAAAAAAATATATACCGTAATGTTACTGATATAATTGTAATGTTTTTATTTAATTCAGTGATTTTGGAGTTAATTCCATAAGAAATATATATAATCAACATTTATTATGGTTAACATGTGGGTTTTAAACGATTTCGTGACTTATTAAGTTACTACATAGCTTTCCGCCCGCAGCTTCGCCCGCGTGGAGTTCGTTTATATCGCGTTACCAACAAAACCTTTCAAACGTCTGGAATAAAAACTATCCTATGTTCTTTCTCCAGGTCAACTCTATCTCTGTACCAAATTTCATTAAAATCAGTTCAGTGGTTTAGGCGTGAGAGCGTAACAGACAGACAGACAGAGTTACTTTCGCATTTATCATTTTAGTAGGGATAAAGATATCCAGATGTTAATGTCTATAGGAAAAAATTCCAGCTGTTTGGGTCATTAACCCCGTGTTTCATTTCCAGGTGCAGGTCTTCGTCCAGGTGCTCGTCTCCAGGTGAACGTTAGAGACGAACACGTGGCAGAAACTAAATGGAACTCCTCTTATCAGATAACAGAAAGTGACGTTAGTGAGGGGAAGTTTAAAGGGAGGTTGAGGATTATAGGGAATTTTCTTGGTAAGTCTATTAATGTTGTCGTCTTTAAACTATAGAACAATATATTTTAATAAGATGTGTTATAAATAAAGTTATCCTTAATTTTTTTAATTTAAGAAATAGGAAATATAATTATGTATAATGTACTGGATGAATCTATTCTGGATTTATATATGTATTAAGAATAACTAATGATTCCTAAAAAAATTTTGCTTGTTAAAAAACATCTCTTAAGTCTTAACTAATATTTGAATGAGATGTATTTTAAATAAGACTGTTACTCAACACCACTCTAAACATATATATATATATATATATACAGGGTGACTGGTGAATTACTATCAATATTTAAGGAGCATACTCTGTACATGATTCTCATTCGAATTATGTAAAAAAAATAGGTACTTAATTTTTGACCAAATTTCCGTATAAATAAATAAAGTGTTGACACGTTCCAAGTGTTCCAAGTGTGGTCGCGTGCGGCGGCGTGCTGATACAAAACCACGCCCCCGCCGCGTATGTGTGTGTGTGAGTGTATACCTAATCTGTAGTGTCTCCACGCGATGCGTAATTAATTACACAACTTTTGGTTAACTTTACTTAGAAGTTTATTAATATTTATGTGATATTAATTTTATTTTGTCATATATCATCGTCAAATATCACGTCCTCAAGTATTGATAGTAATTCACCAGTCACCCTGTATATATGGTGGTAATCCTATTTATATATAAACATATATATATATATATATATATATATATATATATATATATGTTATGTACAACAATTATATACAACTTGTACCAAAACTAATTCATAGTCATAACAAATTCTTATACTTAAGCACAGAAAACTTAATATCCAATAATTCAAACATTTGTATATGTCATAGAAGATAAAATTAAAGTTATAATAGTTATTTTAACTTTCAGGTAGAACGATATTATCTTTGGAATCCATTAGTGTTGGGGACACCATAGAACCTGTGAATGGTACACTAGCAGTGACTGTTACCAGACCACAAAGAGTCATAGACACTATATTCACAACTAGTATAGCGATATTCGTGAGTATTTATTGTCTATGGTATTATTAAAGACACAATATAAAAGACTGTATGGGCTTTGTTCTCTTTGCCTGTTCTGAGAACAAAATCCTATGGTGAAAGTGTTGCCAGTATAAATTAATAGCCTTTAGTAGTTTTATAATCGATTTTTTAAATCCTATTTATATCACAAATATGAAATCTTATATACATGTGTGTGGGTGTTTGTTACTTTTAAAATCTATGAATACTGAATGGATTTTCATTAAACTTTACAATGTTATAGCTCATGCAAGAGAACAATTCTTATTGTGTTTTAAAAACTTAACGGCTCAACCAATATATGCCATATAATTTATTAAATAAATGATAACTTACATAAAAAGAATATTTATCTGCTATATTCTTTAACACAAATGATCGTTTTTATATATTTTTTGACCTTATTGATATTATTATCATAAATTTATCAGTATATATTTCATATTAATGTATTTATTTTCAGATATCAATTGTGTTTATAAACTTTGGTTGTGCGATGCACTGGGATGAGGTTAAAGGAGTTGTTAGAAGACCTATTGGACCTATAATAGGTCTATGTGGACAATTCGTGTTTATGCCTTTGGTATGATTATTATATTAATGAATGAATGAATAAATGAGTTATCTACTATTGAATGAACTTATAATGAATGATATTTATGATTTTTGAGTGTAATAATTTAAATTAAAGTAAGATTTTAAAATATATGTATATCTATCATGAATACTGCAAAGGGATACTTCGAGACCATATATTAATAATATAATGAAAAAAATATAATATGCCAAAATGTTTGTTTTCTTTGAATGAATGATTTATAAAGGAAAGGTGTATTAGTTTCACTATTATAACTCATGAAATTTGGCGAGGAGATAGCTTAAAATCAGGAGACGGGCATAAGATATTTAATTCTGTTTGATCGAAAAAACTTATTAAATTCCCAGAACTGGTTATCTATAGCCACTAGGGTAGAATATAGTTCGTCCGGTCAGCTATACATATATTTCTAATTCTGAAATTAACGCGGACGAAGTCGCGGACAAAATCTAGTTAATTATATATAATTTTTCTTTCTAGATATCATTCGGTCTGGGTTATTTGATCTTCCCTTCATCCCCGTCTCTTCATCTGGGTATGTTCTGTACGGGAGTAGCGCCGGGGGGCGGAGCCTCTAATATATGGACCTTCATACTTGGAGGAAACTTAGACTTGAGTCTTACTATGACATCCATATCTACGTTGGCTGCATTCGGTAAGCTCATATACAGGGTGACTGGTGAATTACTATCGATATTTGAGGACGTGATATTTGACGATCATATACGACAAAATAAAAATTAACATAACACAAATATTAATAAACTTCTAAGTAAAGTTAACCAAAAGTTATGTAATTAATTACGCATCGTGTGAACACCCTACAGATTAGGTATACACACACACACACAGACGCGGCGGCGGCGTAGTGTTGTATCAGCACGCTGCCGCACGCGTCCACACTTGGAACACTTGGAACGTGTACACACTTTATTTATTTTTACGGAAATTTGGTCAAAAATTAAGTACCTATTTTTTTTACATAATTCGAATGAGAATCATGTACCGAGTAACCTCCTTAAATATTGATAGTAATTCACCAGTCACCCTGTATAACTATTACTTGTATATAATTACATACTATCAATATGCTATTAATTTACTATTTAGTTGTATGTAATATAATATGACATATCTGTATTTATAAACAAAATGGCTGTAGACTGAGGTATTTAAAGGATAATATGTAATAATATAATTTAATCTGAAAACTATTTAATAACTATTTTTATATATTTTGATATAAAATTCAATACGAACATGCAGAACTGTGTGTTTGTAATCATGAATATTGTTTGCCTTCATATATACGAATTCGTATTTTTTAACAAACATCATGGCTATTTTGTGTAAACCAAAATAAATAATAATCAACCAAAATTTTCACCAATACCTAAATCTAGTAAATAACGTTAATAACATCTTAATTTTCAGGGTTCATGCCACTATGGTTATTCACGCTTGGCCAAGTGGTATTCGCGAATGCAAGTATAGTGGTTCCGTACAGCCGTATCGCCATGTTCGTGATAGGACTCATAGTACCTCTAATCATAGGATTGGCGATGCAGAAATTCACTCCACGACTATCAGCATTCATGGTCCGGATATTGAAACCATTTTCATCTTGTATACTGATTTTCATTATAGTGTTCGCGATAGTCACCAATTTATATATATTCGAACTATTCTCTTGGCAGGTGAGATTTTATTATTATTAAATAAATCCATATTGTATTAAGCGATAGTTGAATAATTTGTTTAATATTCATCAATCAGCAGCGACATCTATTATCTGTTTTGTGTACTTCATATAAAATGTAACTATGTGTTATTCTGATACCTACAGTACATTATTGAAAAGTTTCATCAAAACCAGTTATTACGTGAAATGAAACAAAAATCTTCATTAAATTTCACATTTTGTTTTAATAATATGAATTCCTTGACAGTCAAAATATTACATACACATGAATAATTCAAAATTTTTCAATAACAGTTATTATATATCTTGTGGGTAGTTATTTTAATATTTTTATTTATTTGCAACTATCAACCTCATGATTAATTCACGATAAAGATAAAAACGATAATCATAATCCACACATAACAACATAATATTATTTAATTACTTATTCACCGATCTCAATATTAAAAATATTAATATTATTTCCATCAGATATTACTAGCTGGTATGGGTATCCCGTGGTTGGGATATATATCCGGATATTTAGTAGCTTGGATATTCCGTCAACCTCATCCTGATGCGCTGGCTATATCAATAGAGACGGGAATACAGAACACTGGAATTGCTATATTCTTACTAAGATATGCTTTGCCACAACCTGAGGCTGATATTACAACTGGTAATCATTATTTATTATATATATGTATGTATATAATTTCTTATATAGTAAACATGAATTGTTGAAGAACCTTACATATGTTTTCATACATATATACATATTCTAATTATTTATTGATTTCTGTGAATGATTTGATATTTTTCAAATATATTTAGTAACTAGCTTTCCGCCCACAGCTTGGTCCGCGTGGAGTTCGGTTATATCGCGTTTCCAAGAGAACCTTTCAAGTCTGGGATAAAAATTATCCTATGTTCTTTCTCAAGGTCAACTCTATCTCTGTACTAAGTTTCATTAAAATCAGTTCAGTGGTTTAGGCGTGAAAGCGTAACAGACAGACAGAGTTACTTTCGCATTTATAATATTAGTAGGGACTACTTTCATTATAGCCAAGCCAAGGAGATTTAAATCTCAAAAATCTCAATACTTTTTAAAATTATTTCATTAATATTGGTTCCGACTTTAGATCTAATAACTTAAAAGGTAGATATTCATATAAATTAAACTAATTTGATTCGGATATACTACGTTTTTGATAAAAGTAGTCGAAACGTCGGGAGTAATAGTTTTTTACTAAAATAAAGTCTCGTAGTATAATCCGAAAAATATAAGTTTCATTTAAATGAATAAAAGTCTCGAAAATTTTGATCTCATTAGATATTCATATAATTATATTTTATAGAAGAAGATACTAATAAGTAGATTATATATATATGTTATATGTTTATTATTTTGTTAAATTACAGTCGTGCCAGTCGCCTGCGCCATTATGACACCAATTCCGATGACAGCAATATTTATATATCAAAAATTAAGTGCATGGTACGTACCTATTATATAGTGTGTTTGTGTGTTGTTTGATAAGAAAATTTGGTTTGAAAAATATGTGGGGAAAATCGTTTTTTAGTGTGGGCTACACCATTTTATTTTATTTCATCATTTTGATCAGAATTATAGTAATATAATTGATGTATTTTTATTAGTTTTGTCCGTTTTTAAAATGTTTTATTTATATTAGATGTTTGAGTAGATATTGATTAGATGTTCTATGATTGAAAATTTAGATTTCAATGTGTTTTTGTCATATTATAATTAAATATTAAATTTTCTACTTTCCATACCTCATCATTGGACCATAGCGGGTTATGTCCAAGTATGTATTGTTTACATAAGGGATTCGGTGGCGGGGCTTTGTCTATGCTTTCAATTGTCTATGGTTGTGATTATTGTCTATAATTTGAATTGTCTATGGTCGATTTCTTGTCTGTGGATTTCTGGTGGAGGTTTTTCTTTACTTTTTTGCTAAAGAATCAGTTACAACTTTTTCTGATATGAACGAATAATTAAGAATATTATTGTTAAAAAAATAATATTCAAGGCATGCGATTCTTTTTTCCTTCTTTCTTTTTTGCTGCGACTTTTTCAATTTAAAATAATATTACATTGATGTCACAGTGACCTTATCGGTACTATATTTTCAATTTAAATTATTTTAAGAAAGTAGAGAAAACCTTTTATTAAACAAGCTAAGTTTTTTTGTGTTTTGAGTGCTTGCTTTTTTAAATGTTTTAAAAAATTAAATAAAATGAAGTGTTGTATTCATAAGGTAAACAATTACTTTATATTTCATATAGATAACTGTTAAAATCATATGTCTTGTCTTTAAATCAATTTTTTCAGTAAATTAATTTGTGATGAAAATATAACTGACTTAAGAATCAAATTAAAATTTGAAAGTTAACTAGAATCACCTTCAAAGACTTATACAAGATGAAACAATAAATACTGGAAGTATATTATTTTGTATATAATGTTTCCAGCATCAAAAACAGAACAAAACAGAAGAAAGATGTCGACGTCCCCGAGACCGTCGAGTCCGGTGTCCAACCTGCCGCTAATGGCAAATAAGGTGAAAACACACACACACACACACTCACTCACATACATACACACATACATACACACACACATACACACACACACACACACACACACACGCACAATAGACGCGCGCTCACACGTTTATGCAATGACACAATGACGTTACCATTATTTCAATATTAAATATATATCTGTGTGTGTGCGCTCTGCTGTAAGTCAGTGGTGGCCTAGTGGTTAAAAGGCCCGCCTCTCATGCATGAGGGCGCGGGTTCGATCCTGGCCCGGGCAAGTACCAATGTGATTTTTCAAAGTTATATGTACTTTCTGATAGTATTTAGACATCACTAATTAATGCATTCCCAAAGAGGGTTGATGTCAGGCAGGCGGCCGGTCGTAAAAACAATTAGCCAAAACTATTCACAACATGTAAGGCTGACCCTGGCTAAAGCTGGGAAATTGCCAGGTAGAAGAAGATAAATGTATGCTCTAAAGTTTTATAACACCCTTATATATTAAAACTAAAATATTATAAGCTTTATCACAAAGTAGTAAGTGTTTTTAATTTGATTATGACAAATTTCCAAAATAGTAATCACCAATTTCTAAAATATTTATCTTACTCATATTATAATAATTGATTTTTCTTTCAGGAAGTAAATTGGTCTTCATCATCAGCATGAAACTAATTCATAGATTAAGCTACAATACATATAAAGCCTTAAAAAGGTTTCATATCAACTGCCACTTTATTATTTTATACTAATTGGTTTTGACTTCAATAATATTATTGCCAGATCTAAATATATCATTTTGTATATTTAAAATTGTCCAAAAATATATCAAAAAATAATATAAGAAATATGGAATAATTTAAGTACTATGCAATAAATGGAAATCACAACCAAAGAAATCAACAAAATTATCTGTCACTGAATTTATTACTTATGAGAATTTATATATCATTTTCATGTTTTCCTGTAATTTTGCTAAATTATATATCAATGCATCATGAGAAGAAATATTTTTTGACCAATATTGCCATTTATAATATTGTATATATTGAGATTGTTATAAGAACTTTTTGATGGAATTTAATCGCCTTCATATGTTTTGGCTGATCAAAAAAATACATTCCTGTTTATAACGGAGTTATCAAAAGAACAAATATTTTAATGTGATGTTATTATTATGGAATAATTTATTTAATTTATTGATTGGTTCACCTATAAAATTAATTTATTATGATTTTTACATCCAGTGAAACATGTATATGAGCAATATATTTTTTAATGTAATAGATTATATAAGGAGGTTTTACATGTATTTAATAATCTGTGAAGCAATAATTGGTTGGTTTATTGAACTTTTTGATGATTTCCACAGAATAGAGTATGTTGAATAGTAACTAATATAATATATGTATGTTTGTTTGTAAGTAGTGTATGCTGCTCACATGACTGGTTTTATAGGTGAAACAGATGTGAAAAGGCTGTTATATTTTATATTGTTGTAATAGATATTTTGTATTGAAATATAAATACATTTTTATATGAGAACAGTCTCTTATTAACTTTAAATGTTAAGGTAGTTATACATTTTATCTAAATTTCAGATGCTATTATTTATGATTGAATGGAGTTATTTGTATTATTAAAAAAATTGATATTTTTTCTGGACCGACACAAAAAAAAAAGATCTTTTCTATGTGGTTATAAATATCTGAAACGTAATTGTATTTATTTAAATATTATCATCTTGAAAATGTTTTTATGTTTAAAATTTATAGAAAAGATGATGAATTAAGTCAAGATTTAGTATTCAGATAAAAAGGAACGATTAACATAACTTTCTAGGAAATGAACCACAAATCACAGATTATTGAGACGCGGAGGTAAAAATTTTAAACATTCAGAATTATTGGATATCCATGGACTCAGTTGAGGCTACTCTTTCGAGTACGAGTAAATCTTTATTTAGCATATTACTTGAATTTTGAGCGTTTTTGTAAGATTAAAGAGAGGTTACTATAAAAGTAGTATAGTTCATAATTATATATTATTATCTATGAACTTTTGTACATATTAACAGACATTAAAAACATTCTAAAGTCAAATACACGTCAAATCTCAATGGCTCTTAAACAATAAAACAAATCTTAATCCCGAATGTATAAATAAATAAACAATGTGAAACCAACCATCCAAGATCCCGTATAACTCTCTGAATAGCTAGTAAAAATGGTTAAACCAAAGTACGATCCTCCCACAAACACTTTTCCGTACAAAATATCTAGAAGACTGAACATTTTAAGTATACCAAGGAAATATATTATTGATACGGGAGAAGGTATGCCTGCTATAAATCCTAGAGGAATCAGGAAATCAGCTTTGAACGGCCAAATATCTGATAGAGTGAATGACGCCGCTTGGCCATATTTAAGGTTTGTATGGTTTTTCAGATTAAATGTGTGTTTTAGCGGTATCTTTAAAAATGTCTTCTTAAATGGGAAGAATTACAAACAAATTTGTAGGAAGAATATAAACATTGCAACTGGCAAAAATCTTAAAATAAGGTTTAATTTCGTGAATTACCGCTTAAATATAAAATTAAGACTTTGGTAGGTAGTACCAAATTGAGGGGACAAAAAAGTCAAAACAATTGTTTAAATAATTTGTTTCTAAGTAAAATTTTAAATTTCAGACGATTCTTGATTATAAAACGAATGTACAAACATCGGTTCAGTCCTGAACGTATGGAGAGAATCGATCGTATGATTGAAGCTGCCAATGCTACTTGCTATTCAAAGCTAGCGAACTGCGTTTTGGATCTTAAAAAACAAGATACAAAAGAGGTTAAGAAGAAAAAAGGTTGGTCTGAGAGCGAATGGAAGAAACACATGGACTATATTAGCCAAATAGCTGGACCCAGAAGAGATTTTAAACCGCCTCCTATAAAGGTAATTAAAATAACTTCAAAAAATTGTTTTCGTGATAAATATTTTGGACTAACAACTTTTACGTTCTTCATATTTGTATAACCTGTATATATAAATGTATATTAATATTCAAACATTACTTTGTTCTTTAGAGAGGTATTGGCAAACCATTGGAACAGTTACTGCCAAGAATCAACGAAATCTGTCACTTCCCAGAATTCAAAATATATAGAAGATTGTCAAAGGAAGAATGGTATAGAAATCCTGAAAAGGTATTGTTTAAATCTACAACACGTTACTTAAAAATTTATTTGGTGGGCAATATTTTAACCACAAGCAAAAAAGGCACTTACACATATTCATTTGTCTATATTATTCGTCATACGAGTTTACACTTATTTCGTTAATTGTTCTTTGCGTTCAATACTATTTATATCCTAGGTATGGAGAATATTTTTATTTTAATAGATTTTTATATACACTAGTTCATTCTCGCGATTTCGTTGACTTGGACTCCCAATTAGGGTTCATAGAGAAATTAATAATCTGTGCAGTGGTCCTAGTATCACATATGTTAACCAATCACTTATCTTTCCTCAAAATTAATATTTAATTCTAATGTTTGTAATTCAATTGTAAAAACTACATCACGGGAAAGTTTTACACAAAATACATTCAATATATTTTTGCTTGAAATTGCTACAAACAGCCGCACGTCCTCACAAATTAATTATTAAATAATATTAGTAAGTGATTATAAAAATCTATTTTCAGGTTGCACCGGGCGCACTTAAATACGTAATATCTGATAGAGTTAAGAAGCTAGCTGCTCCGAGAGTTATACCACAGCATTACTAAAGCAATATATAATAAGCAAACCAAATAACTAGCAATAAAACAAAATACAAACATTTAATTATTTTATTTCTGGTAACATTGAATACTTAAACAATACTATGGGTTACAGATCACATGATTGAAATAAATAATACTGGCGTTACGCCATTTACTAATAATAATTAAATATGATAAAAATAATAGTGATAGCAACACTGAAATTATATTATCTATGATAATGATGTAATCTCTTTGGGAGTTAGTATTGACTATTGGGTGATATTGTTCTTTCCGTTGATAATTTAGGCAAGGCAGTGTATGATAGCGTTGGTGAAGTCCTTTGTTGTGGATTGTCCGCCCAAATCCTTTGTTCTCACTTTGCCGTCCTTAAGAACTCTGCAAGATAAAATATTTCATGTAATATATGCGTATATTGTACAATATAAATGTGACATATTAATATGCAATATTCCAGAAATACGGTATTGGTAGCAAATTGGTTTTCATGCTAATAAAAAAGATATTTTATTGGAACGTTCTTTGTGCACATACCTACACACATGAATATATATACATATATACAAAATAATATAAAATTATCGACACGAGAAAAATACCAAATACTGGAATATCGCTAACAGTTACTTAACCAACTAACTTATGATTATTTTTCCAACTATAAAAAAGGTAGAATTCAATAACATGTTTGTAATATTTGATCATACTTATTGATAGCGTTCTTGATCATATCAGCGTAGGAGTGTAGATTGACGTGAGACAGAAGATTGGCTGAACATAGAAGCATCGCAGTTGGATTAGCGATGTTCTTACCAACAGCTCCGGAGAATATATGACGAGCACCCTGTAAATAATAAAGTATATAAAACAAATATATTAGCTATATGTTTAAAAAATTATATTAATACAGACATCAATAATAAATACTATAATTTCATAATGTTATGAAATCAATTCATTGACAAATATAATTGTTGAAATGAAACTTCTGTGATTTCCAATAAGGTTGCGTTAAAAATTTAACGCTAAGGTGGGAGTGTATAAAAAGAGACAGAAAGAGGGAATGAATGAATGGAAACTACGGACAAGTCCGGATAAGAAAATATGTCAAAGCGTAAGAGAGTGGTTTTGTTGAGAGTGGCGTACGTCAAATGACAATTACCAAATATTCTAAACCAAATTAAACTTATTATTTTATTTAATGACTAGTTTTTGCCCGCGACTTCGATCGCGTTAATTTCCTCATTAGTAATATATGTATAGCTGACCGGGCGAACTCTATTCCGTCCTAAAGGCCATAAGTAATCAGGTTTTTCCTGTTTTAATCGAACAGAATGATTGACATATTAGTTAGTTGTCAAATCTAATGTCAAAGAAAACATTTGTATGGGAAATAGAAAAGGGCTGTTTTTAGGGTTTTCCCGGAAATGAATAAATTTTTCTCACCTTTTAAACCTTCCCTGAACCTCCACAAATATTTCAAGACTAAGATAAGATAAATCCGTTCAGCCGTTCTCGAGTTTTAGCGAGACTAAGGAACAGCAATCCATTTTTATATATATAGAAGATAGAAGATTAAAATCTGCAGTTTTTAGTACATACATATGTATGTATATGTAATCTAAGAAAATGTATCCTTTAATTAAACTGCGTTACAAATGAAAAAAAAAATTGAGTACCCGCTTTGAAATATCATGTTTTCTTATCAATACTTATAGTTGTCTAAAAATACATACAAAATTTCCATTCATCACGTCTTATTTTTCTTCCAGAAGAATGTGCCAAATTCTACTAAAAATTTAAATGCTAAAACATATTTTAAAGAAAATTACTTTCCTACATACAAAGAAAACAACAGTATTTAGTAAATTCACAATATACTGTCCGCAAACATAACAAAACTTATTTGGTGCATTTAAGCAGTTGCGACGACAACTTAGTCCAGTATTCATAATGGATTTCCAAAGAAATATGTACGAATATAACGACGTTATCAATAAAAATGACTACTAAACAAAACAAAATAATAAAAAAGTACAATCAAAAATTGTATCTACATATTTCGTTTACGCCTAAAGTGATACGTGTAGAGTAATAGAAAAAATAATTTGGCATGTACCTCGAAAACTAGACGTGATAGATACCACATAATATGTTTGGAACATTTAATATGTGACTCATTAGCTATTCATTCCAGCTAACACTTACGTGGGTACCAAAATCGTGTAACGCAGTGTTACTTATTAATTAACCTTGATTTTCGTTCATATGCATTTGTTACTTTTTTTGAATAAACATATAATATTACATGTACGACATATGAACAAAACCGGCTTTTCTTTATACATTCGGTTATCCGGATTTTCGATTAACCGAATGCCCATTAGTCCGGGTAATCGAGTTTCTACTATATATACAGGGTGACTGGTGAATTACTATCAATACATACTTTAGGACGTGATATTTGACGATCATATATGACAAAATAAAAATTTATATATGTAACATAAATATTAATAAACTTCTAAGTAAAGTTAACCAAAAGTTATGTAATTAATTACGCATCGTGTGAACGCCCTACAGATTAGGTATACACACACACACACACACTCGCGCGCGGTGGCGTGTTGTTGTATCAGCACGCCGCCGCACGCGTCCACACTTGGAACACTTGGAACGTGCCCACGCTTTATTTATTTATACGGAAATTTGGTCAAAAATGAAGTACCTATTTTTTTTACATAATTCGAATGAGAATCATGTACCGAGTATTCTCCTTAAATATTGATAGTAATTCACCGGTCACCCCGTATATAACTTTCATTATATTATTACCTGTTCAAACACAGCACAATCAGCGCTATATGAAGCCCCAGCCACAACCCCCGCTCCTCCTACAAGTCCGCTGGCTAAATTGTCCACAATATTGCCATATAGATTTGGTGTGACCATCACATCAAACTGATTTGGGTTAGACACCATCTGCATCGTGCAGTTATCAACAATCATCTTCTCAAACTGTATACGTGGATATAATTTCGCCATCTGGAAAAATATTTAATATAATCCATACAAATATTATAAATGCGAAAGTAACTGTCTGTTTGTTACGCTTTCGCGCCTAAACCACAGAACTGATTTTAATGAAATTTGACACAAAGACAGAGTTGACCTTGAGAAAGAACATAGGATAGTTTTTATCCCAGACTTTTGAAAGGTTCTCTTGGAAACGCGATATAACCGAACTCCACGCGGGCGAAGCTGCGGGCGGAAAGCTAGTTAATATATAAACACAATTTTCATTTCATGTTAAAACCATTACTATGACAATATATGTAATTGTTAAATTTTCTATAATAATGTTATATTAATATTCTATTTTTATGATTATTTGTATTTAAAACTTTATAATTAATTTTCATAAGTTAATATACATCATATTATTACACTAAGAGAATATCTAGGTTTTTATAAAATAGGTCATCCATTCAACTTTCATATTCTCCACTCAGTTTTGTCATAAGTTTGCATAACTTAAACAAATACAGTCTTTATTTTTCCATTCACAAACCTTCATAAAAAACATTCCAAGACTATTGTATATAAAAAATAGAAAGAAAATCAATTAGAATGGTAGTTAATTAAACATTGATTGATTGATTCATGGATATACCATAAACACATAGGATTCAAATTATCCAAGTATATATAATACAAATATATGTCCATATGTTTGTCTGTGTATAAATTGTTACATCATACGTCCTCACAACTCCTCACCATAATTACATAGGACTTCAATTATCCAAGTTTATATATATATATATATATATATATATTGATATGTTTGTCTGTGTATAAATTGTTACATAATACCTCCTCACAACTTCTCAAGAACAATCCGTCTCCCAACTTCATGATGTTAGCCTTATGTACCGCCGTGACCTTCTTACGACGCATCTTGACGGCGTAGTCAAAAGCGAATTTAGCTATACGTTCAGATTTAGCAGCCGTTATTATCTTGAGACATTCAACGACACCTGGAAATATGTTTAATAGTTATTATTAATATTAAATTATATTTGAAAAGCAAAAATACAATTTCATTGTAGTATAATTAACAATTGTATAATAATTAGTTGAAAAGTTTTTAATACGTAACAATAAGTTACGAAATATATAAGTGCTAAATATATATGTATATATATGAATTACCTGATATCTAGTAAAGGAATCAGTGATAAAAAGAAACATTACAGATATTATGGCGATATAAAAAAAATTTGTTTTTTATACTTTATTTCAAGACAAGAATAAAATGGATAAGAAAGAAATTTCAGTTGATTTGTTATTAAATAGACTTGTTAAAGTCAAAAATATTTTACATGTCTTAGGTTGTCATAGTTAACTTCAAATCTCAATAGTTATAGTGCGTTTGATTTAAGGTGAGCTTTGCATTTGTGTGAGTGCACACGGATAGTGTAGGTGAGATGTCAAATATTTGAATGAAACATTATTTTCTACTTTTAAACGTTTTGTACTGCTTTTACTTCGTCCCGCACCTTCCTCACTTCACCTTTTGTACTGGTAGCAATATCAAATGTTGAAAACGCAATGTCACAAGAATAAGATTTTGTAGTTTTTTCAAAATTCTTATTAATCAATAATTTTTTTCCTCAATATTCAAAATATTTCCCTCTGGACCTTTACAAGTTTTGTTTATTTTATAGCACTTGTGTTATGTATCTATTTAAAATATAATAAAATTTAATTCTAAAAGTTTTTTGTCTAACTTTACTTTTACTTTCACTCACACATATGCAAAGCTTAAGTCTAACGGACTATAACACAACTTCAAATTCACAAATCTCAATAGTTAACACCACTCCATTATCTCAAATCTTGATAGTTAACTTAAAATCTACTACAATCATGTATAACAACTCACCGGGAACAGATTCATGTTCCAATGCCGAGTACTCTCCTTCAGTTTGTTCTCTTATGATGATGCAATCAACGTCTGTGTGTCTACACTTAACGTTAGGTAGTGACTTAACATGCACTACATTAGCGTATAGATCCAGGGCATTACGGAGCTTCATGTTGAGTGTTTGAAGCTCACCAGTGTGGGAGAAATCCGGAGTAGCCAGAATGCCCTGGAATTTACATATTGGATATATGTACTCACAACCTGTATATATTAATACATATATGTATAATGTATAGATGGTGTTATATATAGCAAACTATCTTATGATTTATCCCTACTAATATTATAAATGCGAAAGTAACTCTGTCTGTCTGTCTGTCTGTCTGTCTGCTACGCTTTCACGCCTAAACCACTGAACTGATTTTAATGAAATTCGGTACAGAGATAGAGTTGACCTTGAGAAAGAACATAGGATAGTTTTTATCCCAGACTTTTGAAAGGTTCTCTTGGAAACGCGATATAACCGAACTCCACGCGGCGAAGCTGCGGGCGGAAAGCTAGTATTTAATATTCTCATATTCGAAATAGCTCTGGTCAGTTCACATAGGTATTTTAAATCTTTATTATTAAAGTACATAAGCTAAGTTAGGCCTTATTATATTAAATACCTGCATATTTTAAAATTGTAACTGGTTAAGTTGTTTCACATACTAGCAGGAACACATAGATAAGAATTTTTAAATAATTCAATAGTTTGGTATATGTAATATCTATACATCTATATTATTAGTATTTAAGGAAAACTTCACATTTATATAACAAACAGACAATAATATCTATTAATTCATATAGATGTATGTTATTATATAGAGATTAAGAAAATTATATACCTTGATACATATCTTATTCCTAGCAATTGAGCTAACAACATCTTCTAAAGGAGCACTTAATGTTGGATTTACTTCAGAGAAAAAGAATGATTCAAAATCTACGGGGATGCTGGTTGCCTGGAAGAAATAAATACACAGTTAAATTACTATAATATTATCTTCAAATTTATATTTATAATTAGTTCTAGTACATTTTTATGTGAAATAAAAACATAAAAGTCTGTAATGTTGATTAATATATTATTATATTTGAGATAATTGATACTTCAATGTTTCAGAAAGCAAAAACAGTATGAAAAAATCTAATTTGTTAAGTAATTTGAAAAATTATATAATTTATAAAACATTTAAAACTATAAGAGTTAAATTACAAACATTTAAAATAAACACAAATTAAATTTGTTCAATAAACTATTCACACTATAAATAAGAAAGTTCAATTATATTGACATATAAAACAAATATCTTAATATTTGGTACACTGACTTAAACAAATCTTCATACTTTTGACTAGGGACTATGTAAGGTTTATTAATACTATAGAAATATTTTCTTTCACACATTCTCACGAAATATAAAAAATTTATTAATATGAATATTACCTTAAACACCTCTTGAACCGAATATACAAGCTCGGGACCAACACCATCTCCGGGAATGAGAGTACACTTGATGCGACCTTCCTTGCTTGTTTGCTATATACAAAAAACCAATCAATACCATAATACTTAACATACAACCATATAAAAAACATTTATTTAATATTTTAAAACATTTATATACATAATGTAAAACTTCATTTAATTTGTACACTATATACTTACCGTTCAAACTTTAAAACATATTTTGAATGAGCTTTATATGTAATATGGACAGAACAACATTTTGTTATGTATTACAATGCATTGGACGAACACAAAGGTTTACATCGCATGAAATATAAGGAATCATGCTCGGTTATTATAAATACATATATGTATACCCATATTATATAAATTATTATGTATATATTTATTTTTTCATGCATTTAATTATAAGTCTATTTTTCACTTTTTTTTTGTCATTGACACCAATACACAAGGTTTCATGCATAGAGGAAAAATTCTTACAGTTTTGTTGCTAATGTAGACCTGATAAACTTTGAAATATTTATTATTAAGAATTTTATAATTTAAATATCCAGAATTTAGATGCCAATTGTAATATAATGTCATGTTTATACATTTTTGCCGCCAATCATATAAATTATATTTTTCTTTTTTTTTGTATGCAAGAAGGCAGAATGTTTAAATGTAATGTAAAATTATTTATATGCCAATATATTTCTTTAATCTGACTTCAAAATAGAAACTAGTCTTCCAATCAAATAGATTTATGAATGGATTTTAATAATAGCATTTGCATTTGATAAGTTTTGTTCTTTGATTAATTAGGTACATATAAATTTAGTTAACTGTTATAAGCTATAACAGTAAGAAATTAGAATCTTAATCAATTTTAATTTTTCTCCTGATTTTCAATACTATAGTTATTTTAAACAATCATTGTTATGGCCTTTTGATTGAAGTCTGATTAAATTTAATAATATTGAATTACTTGTATTTTTTCTGCTTTATTGCACTCCTGTAAGAGCTATTAGTACCACAGTTAGTATTCTCACCAGACTGCTAATTGATAGTGGCGCGAAACATACGTTTTTTTCAGAGTTTACCGCACTTGTATGCAAACCTTTGCTGACATGTTGAGATCCCTGGAATTAAAAAAAAAGTTTATAGTACTTATGGCAAGTATAAATTAACCTTGAGTATAAATAAATTGAATAAGACAATATACGTAGATGTTTGTATAATCAATTAAGTAGATCACGTGAGGTTATTTGATAGCAAAGATATATGCGTATCGAATGAAATCAATTTTAAAAAAAGGGATTTGCGTCAATTATAAAACTTACTGAAGAAAAAAACAAAATTAACTGAACATTAAAAGCGCAAAAAGAAATAACAGAAGCAGCAGTTACGAAACAAATTTTTATTTTTAATATTACAATATATTGAAAATAAATTTACTCTTTGGGCACTTTACCTGGACTAGAGCACGACAGAGGTTTCTAGTTATAAGAGACATTTTGCAATTCTACTGAATTCCTAAGAGAAAATTATATTTTAGCCAAGGTATTTTTAGAACCTCTTGTCTTCGCTCTTTTCGATGACAAGAGTAGAAATGTCAATTTGAAAACCCATTCTACGCAAGCAATATATTATTTCGATATCATTTTAAAATAATGAAATACAAGACTTTCAGTTGACACTTTTTAATTTTTTTTTAAGTATTGCTTACTTTTATTTGTAAAATCTATGAAAAAATATTTGAAATTTTAATAAAACGATAAGGATGGATTTGAATAATACATTGTAAAAAATAACAAAATAATAAACCTAAATCAATTTATTGCATGAAAAGGAACGCATAAGGAATATTATTTTTTAAATTAAACCAAAATTTAATGTAGGGGGTGTTAAGGTTACTGCTATTATTAAAATTTAATTTTTTATAATCTTATTACATTTATATTAAACTCTTGTATACCAGACTAAAAAAACTTATTCAAATAGAAACTGACAACTCTACGCATCGAAGTAGAGATAGAATTGATTTTTACGTCATTTTTGGAGGTCTTGTGACGGCGCAACATTTAAACTCAATATAACGCCAAATCTAAAAAGTGTAGATAAATTTATAAAAAAAATGTGCCTCTTGACCTCCTAATTATTCCACTTTTTTATTAAATATTTATTGGATATTGGAATCGTTTGTACCTTAAAATTGGTAAGCGAAATTATGCATTTTTCACTGTCCTTAGCTTATTTAATCTTTGAAAAAAATGACATTTTCTTAAAAGTAAATATTATTGATAGAAATGCTATTTAATATTCTGAATTTTGATACCATTACAATTAATTATTTTTTATTTAAAAATTTTCAAGCCAATGCTCGTTTTATCGATTAACCTTTAGGTCATCGCTCCATTTTAAATATAAAAAAAAAGAAAATAGTACTAATAAGTACATATTATCATAGAAAGTAGAAATAAATGTTTTAGTAGTTGATAAAAAAAATGTATTAAATTTCTAAAATATTTTAATTTATTATAAAATTTTTCATTACGCTCTGCGGCACTGAATACTTTATTTTCAAGGTGAAATTTCGTTATTGAATTTTCGGTAAATGTGTAACATTTCAGCGTCGATTCACACAATAGAAAGCATTTTTTTTTACAAAGAAATTTTATTGTTAATCAATTACAGATTTAATTATTTCCATTAAATATGAAATATAAGTAAATTTATTATTATTACAGAAGATATGTACATAATCGAAATGAATTAATATTTGTGTACTGTTACAAATCTCTTTTATCTTAATGTTATTGAGTAATTATTTTATCGTTAGTTCAAACGTATTTCATTGATAATACAAAAGTCCGTGACATGGAGTCTATTTGTTTGCACAAGTTATCTTAGGTGGTACACGAATTAAACTAAGAGCCATCATCAAACAGTTATGTAATGCATATTAAAAATAAATTATCTTCCTATAAATATTTTATAAGTCTTAAAATGAACAAAAGAAACAGAAATTAAATAACGTATATATGTTTTAATTCGTATACTTTTGTTATAAGTACTAAATATATGGTCGAGACTTACAAAGATAAATTGTGACTTTAGATTAAAAAGGTTACACACATTGACCCAAAGGCGTTACGTTGCGACATAATTAGGAAGAATATATTTTTAACTATTTAATACTGTATTGGTTTTAAGTAAAATTGTGATATTTTTTGTGTAAACCCCAGGTAACTAACTGTATTCTTATATAAATTTCTTCATCATATATGGAGAAGGTTTGACAGCTTTATCTATTATGGAATTTACCCATTAATCTCTAAATGTAATACGCATTATTTTCTTTTAACTATATAAATATTGCTAAGCCATTGATAAATTACTAGTGCTTTTAATGCAATATAAATCCTATACTCATCGACCATTTTTAATCTGTGTCAATATTTGATTTAAATTCCAATACTTGTAATAGTTTGTAATTTATTCGATTATATGTTATTTTTATTCGATTATATTATGTTTTATTCGATTATTCTCCTTCTTCTTCTACCTTTTATTCGATTATATGTTATTTTCAGTCAATAATCCACAATGAGTCACATAGATTTGGACAAACCCCGTTATGATCAGAGTACCTACATGGGTAGAGCGAAACATTTCCTTCTGCTGACAAATCCTATGAACGTTTTCGCAAGCAACAAGCAACTCGATGATGCTAGGAAGATTGTCACTGAGTTCAGGTATGATTAAATAATTTAAATTCATACTATAGAATATATAATATATAAAGTACTATAAAATAACCAATATTGCCATAGATTAAATATATAATCAATAATTATAGGCAGCCATTTTGGTTTTGGTTTGATCGATTTTTTTTTTATAGTAGGCACATGTCGAAGCGTTTTTACGGTTTCTATTTTTATTTAGTTTAATTTGTAATAAATTTTTTTAGTGTGGAAGTTAGATTAATTATATAAATTTTAGTCAATTTTATTTGAATTATACATAGAACTACAATACTGTTTTTTCTTTTTAAATATTTGTTCTACTATTGGATCCATTGAATACAAAAAATAATCTAGATAACAGTTAATAATTTTATCTAGATTTTAATATAGTTCTAGAACAATTTATATATTTGTATCCCTTATTGATTTTGAACGTATTACGTAATCGATTACAAACGTCTGCATTGCTGAAGTCCTTAGTAATATGGCGTAAAAGAAACTTGCTTACAGATTATATAAAGAATTGTAAGAAATATTTGACATCACTGATATTTAATAACATTTATTTAATATTTTTAATCATTCAGTAGGAACGAATATGAGATTCGTAGAGACATCGTAGTGGGTCTACGACTGAACTTGTAGAACTGCTACGAAAGGCGTTTGCATTTTCTGTAATTTTTCCTATCCAAAATATTTAGACATTTCAGAAAAAGTTTATTTAAAACTTATTACTTACTTGAATTGTAAATAATCTTCTAAGAACGTATTTTTAATAGTTTAACATTTCGTAATTCGTTCACATTTTAAAGATAAACAATGTATTTATTGACTAATACAGTATAGGTACATATATTATATCGAGTTTTTTCTAACACAACAATGAAATACACGACTATTTTTCTTTGAAGTTGGTTAAATACGATTTTTAACTATCAGGAAGAGTCGTAAGATGCCGGCGGGGTACGACGAAGACAAGTTGTGGGCGACCAAGTATCTGTACGATAGTGCATTTCACCCTGACACAGGAGAAAAGATGATCGCCATTGGAAGAATGTCAGCTCAAGCGCCCATGAATACTATCATCACGGGATGTGAGTCAATACAACAACTATACCATTGACTGAATATTGTTGAATGTATTATTGCAAAACCATCCAAAGTAACTAACATTATGTGTAAATCTAAGCATTGACTATCGATTCATCCATACAATTAAGTAATAATTAAATTAATGAGTGATTAATTTAAATTGATTATGAATGATTATGAAAATTCTTACTAAGGACACTTTGCAAAACTAAACTTTAAACTTTTATGTAAAATGTTTTATTTGTATCAATAATACATTATTGACATATGAGACAAGTTGGAGGCTATTTATATTACAGAATTTTATCAAGTTAATATGATAATCTATTACAAATACCCATGATCCTTTTTGCGTCAGTGACCAACGCACACATGCATACATAAGCATAGACAGGCACGCACACAAATACATTACACACACACAAACACAAAGACAACACGCACACAAGCTCATACACTTATAACATCGATAGTGATGGCTTAATAAAGCCAGTTCCCGTATATGTTACTAACGCACACATGCATACATAAGTACGGACAGGCACGCACACAAACACAAATCCCACACGCACACAAGCATACATTTCTAATATCGATAGTGATGATTCAATAAAGCCAGTTTCCATACATTTCCAGGTATGATAACGTTTTATAAGACAACAGCAGCTACCGTGTTTTGGCAATGGGTCAATCAAACATTTAACGCCCTTGTAAATTATACTAACAGAGGGGGGGATGCGCCATTACCTACATCGTGAGTATATTCAAAAATAGAATATTACATAAAAACGATAAATTAATAATATATCGGGTAAGAAGGTTTTAATTGTATATAATTTTTATTTATTACATTGTTATTTGATTGTTTGGTTTCGGAATCCATTTTGGGTTTTAGATTTTTACTTGACTTCATTTTAATTTCGACCCTTATAACGAAGATGTAATTTATTGAATAAAAAAAAGAATAGGCAGAAAAAAGCCTTGTATGTTTTATCGTGATTAAACAAAGTATATTTAAAAAATAATTTAAAATTAATATTATATCGGATATAAGCTTTTAATTATATATAATTTTTATTTATTACATTTCGATTTTATTTTGTAACGAAGATGTAATAAAAAAAATTAAGAATAGATAGTACAAAAGCCTTGTATTTTTTTGTAAGATATTGAAAAGTAAATATACTTTTCAATATCTTAAATATTAGATTTAAAGTACAAAAATTTCATATAAATATTTATAAGCTTATCAAATTCAAAATAATATATTATCGACATAAAAAACCATGATTTTCTATCAAAACAAATTCTAATACAACTTCAATACTAAATCCATGTAAGATTATTACAGGTAGTTGTTTAACATTCAGTTTGAATGGTAACAAATATTATTACAAGTTGTTATAACATTAAACAAAATTGCTATTACTAACAAGAATTGTTATTTATAATATACATTATACATAATTTTAATAACGATACTTGTTATTTATATACATTATATATTGTTATCGTTATTATGCTTAATTTTATCAAATCATTCCAACAGCCAGTTGTTGGCGTCGTATTGTGCCGCTTGTGGTGGGGCGTTGTCTACAGCACTTTTTCTCAACAGCAAGGTTAAGGTGAGTGAAGAACACACACACACACACACACACACACACACACACGCGCGCGCACACGCACACGCCCACGCACACGCACACGCACCCGCACACGCACATACACATGCAATACTTTCTGAATAAAAACATTTAATTTTTCATTAAGCATTAATGAAAATTTTAATACAATCACGATACATATATATTTTGTATAGTACTAATTTAAAACACATGACGATTAAGAATGTGATTAAAGAAACGTGATAAATCATTTTGGAAAGTTTCAAAATTAAATATTAATAAATAAACAAATATGTATTTTTTCTTAATTTCTTAATTAAATATAAAATTTAATATGTCAGAGAAGAAAATAAATTAAAGAAATTAAAACCTTCAGTAATGTTATACAGAAAGTACATTATGCTTACTCCAAGTTCTCTCACACTACACACGTAGCGTTAAAAGTTTAACATACACTAATCTCCTCACATTATAGTATTAATATACACTATTGAATAAAATACGAGAAACGCACCGTATGTATGACGATGTAAAACTTGTGCTAAGTATTACAGAAAACTATCTCAAGCTATTAAAAATAAAATCAAAGTATATATGAATATTGTTGAAAATAGGAACGAAATTTTTCTTTGTAGATTTCTTGTAAATTTCTAAATTACTTCTTTAAAATATAAGTAAATAACTATGTACATATTATATTATAAGTCCCCATTTTTATTAAATCCTCTAAAATTCCATTCTCACCGATAACAATATAATGTTGATACTTTCAATTCCAAACATATTTTTCTATTCTGATATAAAGTTTTTGACTAAAAATTTATTTAAATTTCTTTATTAATCATGAAAAACACATAATAAGTTTTTTTTGCTGTTGTATTATTATTTTTATCTGCAAAACATGTTTTGCGATCTTTAAATTCTAATCGTAATTTGTACCATAAATATAAAAATTTTTATTAATAAATTAACGTTAAATTTTACCAAAATATATTGAGTAGTTTTTGTATGAAAAACTAGGAAACATCAGTACATTCTCACAGACTTGATTTTATGTACATACAAAAGTTATCTGTTTGATAAAGATTTGTTATAATTAAATGGAATTTCCATTCTAATAAGCTTTTAATACCGTATTAAATATTTTGTATTATCTATATATGTACATATATAAGATAATTACACTGCAATAGTCAGTGGTGGCCTAGTGATTAAAGGGCCCGTCTCTCGTGCATGAGGGCGCGGGTTCGATCCTGGCTAGTTACCAATGTGATTTTTCCAAGTCATATGTACTAAGAGTGCTTAGACGCCACTGATAGTCATTGAAGGAAAACATCTTGAGGAAACCTGGACTTATAATTTCACAATTATAAGTTTGAAATCACCAACCCGTCTTGAGCAGGCGTGGTGATTGATGCTCTAATCTTCTCGATGTGAGAAGAGGCCTTTACTCAGCAGTGGGCTCTATAGTCTATACAAATTTTGCAAGCATGACATTATTAATTTAACTTTAATTTATAGAAAATAGGTATATATATATAATAATGTATAGAAATAAATAACAAAATAATCATTCTGTTATCAAGTTAATGCTAATAGAGTTATTTGCAAGCAAACGTCACGAGGGCGTGTCATTGAACGTGACGTAAGTTTTGTTTATCTGTGAAAAGATATTTTAATTCACGGCCATTTCTTTCCATTTTCGTAAGTAGAAAATCCCCAAAATGTGTGATATAACATGTTTGAAATATGTATTTATATTTTTCTTGAAAAACTTATCTCGTTTCGTTTGCCCGTGATCACGGTTGCTGAAAAGTAACCCAAACGCTTTGAGTATTTTACTCGCGAAAGTCTTAGATTTCATTAATTATACTTTATAGATTTAGATATTACCACTTAGATATAATCAAATAAAAAAAAAACTTTTTTAGTAATCCCTACTAATATTATAAATGCGAAAGTAACTCTGTCTGTCTGTCTGTCTGTCTGTCTGCTACGCTTTCACGCCTAAACCACTGAACTGATTTTAATGAAATTCGGTACAGAGATAGAGTTGACCTTGAGAAAGAACATAGGATAGTTTTTATCCCAGACTTTTGAAAGGTTCTCTTGGAAACGCGATATAACTGAACTCCACGCGGCGAAGCTGCGGGCGGAAAGCTAGTTTGTAAATAAAGCTATCAATAAATTTTTTTGAACCGTATCTACTATAAAAAAAAACCAAAGATGATGACATAGAATTGGTTTATTAGATGAAAATGTTTAAACAAAATAAACCAGGTGGGGCCAAAAATTGGCTAGTGCCATTCAAAATGTCTATGCAATTTAATTATAAATATTACTCTCTTCAGTGAATATAATGCAATTATTCCGCTTGATTTAATTATATGATATTTATCAAATAAAGCCCATTATTTAATGATTTTTGCTTAATTATAGTCTACAACCCTGTTAAACAATTTTTCAAAACAACAAACAAAAAAATTTTTGTTGGTTACGTCACTATATAGTATATCACGTCATTATCAATGTGCTTATATTTTTAAATCTATTTGGAATAAATATATGTGGAGTGATAAATAAATCTTTACTTTTGATATTAAATATTTGGTATTTCCCCATTACAGGATTTAAATAGATATAATGTACCCATGATACAAATAGCGCAACAATCGTGACGCGTCATTTATCGTTATCATGTTGTTTACTATCTCGTTGGCAGTTCATGATCTATGACAACTGATAGTACGCGTCATAAACAACGCCTCCCTTCAACAGTCAAGGCATTTTAATACTATGTATATGCGTATATTGCACGTACAATGGAAACTTGCATCGTGATATTTTAGGTTGAAACAGTTTTTTTTTATATTTTTTCCCGACTTAAAAGTAGACAGTAGGTTTCTATGAAGATTCTTTTTAAAATCTGATTAATGTTTTGACTTGAATATCTTTCATGATTAGTCAAATTGTAAAACTATAACATTTTTTAGGTTTAATTATATTTTTAAGTCGTTCCAGTTTTAAATTACATAATTAAATGAAAAGTTCATTAGTATTAAACATTTAAACTTTATAAGTACAAAATTAAAGATTATTAGAATATAACTAGCACGCATACCTAGTCTAAGTTTTCATCGTCACACTACATACGAAGCATTACCCGTTCCTCGTTAAATAACCTACGTTAAATTATGTGCCAAGATTTGTTAATTAAAAACTATAGTATATGACAAAAATATACTATATGAAATGAATGTTTTAAGAACCTATACGTAAAGGTGACATTCAGGGCTTAAAGACAATTGAAACAATTTATTCTAATATACAATTGCAATATTTTATACACTAGTTTACCTATAGTTTATCTTAATAAATAAATATGATTATCAATAATAAAAAATAACAACCAATAAGTCTCTAAAAATGAATGATATATCTTTGTTTTTGTAAGAGAATTAGATCTTAAATTTTTATATTTCATTCACGGTGACTTGCTTTAAGTTGGGTCAAATTTTATTTATCACGATGATGTCTACGATTATTTTGCATTACAATCTTGGTACTGTAAATAATACACATTTTTTGTATGAATGAAACCATAGCATTATGAAATAAGAAATGATTATTTTGGCAGAATATTTTAAATATCACATAATATGACTTGCTACGAGATAGAAATCATACAAAATTATTGCGTTCTCTTAATAATATATTATACAAAAAAGATCAAATGTATGGTATCAATATACATATTTAATACGGATACTTTAGTTGTTTTCCAAGTCACATATAATTAACACAGCCTTCAAGTTAATCATGTTTATTAATATACAAATAAACTAAAATAGATGTTATATTTGCTAATATTAATGCATGTCGTGATTATAATGAAATAGAGAATTATTTACTATTTATATATATTTCTACTTAAGCGTATTGAGGACCAAAATGTTACGAAATTTTATTATCAACAATTTTGGTGTATTTTATTACTATTGTGCTAAATAAAATATACATATACAACGTGTAACGTAATTAACGCACACCCTCAAATACCCCAATGCGAATATAATGATATAAACGCAATGCATACACCAAATATTATTTATATGTGCGTTTGAATTTTTTATTTGTGAAATTAGTTATCCCAATTTCGTGCAAATAATATGGTCAGCTATTCAGCGACACTCTGTACTCGCCGCGCCCGCGCCCCTCTCTCCGAGTGCCGTCTGACAATAATAAGTAGTAGGTAATAATAAGTACACGAAATAACTACATTACATATGATTTATGATTTTTCTTTTCATCACACTTTTCAGGCTTTAGATTGTCGACATTGATTTTTTTTAATGTGAAGCCAATATTTTATAATTACTGATTTGTTAAATTAAATTTGTAAATAAGAATTATTAAACAGCTGATAACGCGTGATTTGATTAGACACCACAATACCTACGACAAAGTTAAATTTAAAGATCATAAACAAACTTACAGTTTAATTTGCACTCGCACGGCGTTGTCGTTTTAAAACATTTTCAAAATGTCCACCGCCTTGTTCAATGCACTTTAATGACCGTTTTCGCAATTGTGGTTTTATTTTAGATAATACTGCAATGTCACTTTTCACTTTTACAAAGGCGGTTATTATCTTATTTTTTAGTTCCTCGGCACTTGTTATCTCTGTGTTATAAACTAGCGATTTAATTCGCCCCCACAAAAAAAAGTCGAGTCGCGTCAAATCAGCTGATCTAGGAGGTCAATGGACACGTGCGTAGGTATTTGATGTATTGAATGTTAGTGTACCGAAACGACACAGCGAAATGCGCGACTAAGATTTTATTTGCACTTTACACTTGACCTCTTTTCGATAAGGTGGACGCGGCGTGACTAACTTACCCAAAACACATATTGTTGACTTCGATGTTTAGTTATTATTACTCTGATTCCGGGAATTAGCCTGCCGTCTCGCTCTATTGTAATGTTATTAAGCCAAAGAAAGAAGGAGAAAGTAATAATTTTTGTATTACGCGGCTTCCTTTTATGCACTGTAGTGACCTTGCTGTGTGCCGGTTGTCGCTATGGTGTTGTGTGCGTAGTTATTATTAAATACTATTTTAGCCTTGAAATAAGTATCAGTTTTCTTTAATTGAATGATGATTACCAATTAAATATTTCATTTTAAAAATCTTAATACCCTGACTTACGATTCATTTTCGTTTCCATTAATTTTCGTTTCTATGAAGTGTTTAGATAACTGTGTGTAGGGTGACTATAATTTACTTAGTTCTATCTAAATTTGAGAAAAAAAAATGACCTACATAAAAAACTATCAAAATCGATCCAGTATCCGATTCTGATCAAACTACTTTCAGGGTGTGCGTTAATTATGTTACACGTTGTATAACACTTAATAAAATAGATTAAATAATATTATACTATTTTTTTAGTAAACCGTATAAAAAAAATAGTGCGTAGAGTCCCCATGCGCGAAGAAGTGAAACTTCGTAATGTTGGAAAGAAAACAGGAAGGGATAGAAATAGATTTTTATATAATTTTGAATGTTTCTTTAAGATAATTAATATTATTTTCTAGGTACACTTGATTGCCCTCATGCGTACAGGCGCCACGCATTCGCTCTGTCTCTTTTTAATCAAAATTTTATTCCTAACGAAATAAAGACAGATTCTTGGCATAAAACTTTTATACGTAATATTTTTTTGGATTTTTGTGTTGAATTCAAAATTAATAGAATATTAAAATCCATTTTGGCCGTAATAATATTAGATTCCGTTTGAAATATATACTAGAATAAATATAATATACGTGAAAATCAAAATAACAAATGTCTAAACAAACTAAACACGTCTTAATAAAATATAAAATAAACAAGTTAGCAACGTTTGCTATTTAAATTGTTATATGTATTTATTAAATAAGTTTTGTACAACAAGTTCATTCGAGGAAAAATTTGTATGTAATATTTAATTCTACATTTATTTCAGAACCTGCCCCCTATTTATGCTTCCCTGGTACCTTTTGCCGCCGTCTGCGGCGCCAACTTCATAAACATACCTATGATGAGGAGCGGGTAATTATTATTATTACTTATTATTAAATTATAATAACAAATAAAACATATGAGTGAAAATAACTTAAAGAAAATTTATTTATAACTAGCTTTCCGTCCGCAGCTTCGCCCGCGTGGAGTTCGGTTATATAGCGTTTCCAAGAGAACCTTTCCAAAGTCTGGGATAAAAACTATCCTATGTTCTTTCTCAAGGTCAACTCTATCTCTGTACCAAATTTCATTAAAATCAGTTCTGTGGTTTGGGCGTGAAAGCGTAACAGACAGACAGGCAGAGTTACTTTCGCATTTATAATATTAGTAGGGATTAGTGGTTTTATTGTTTTCATTGACGTTGCATTGCTCCGCAAAAATAAATGACATTAGTTTCCTATGACTGAAAATTCATAATTAACTTCAGTTTAGTTTCAGAGCTATTAAGGGTATTTGATAATTAACGATATATTATATATATTTAATTATGCGATTAATTTGTTACTTTTTTTTACTTTAAGTATATAGAAGAAATATTGTAAATATAAAATAATTTCACAAATTTCAGTTACGGTCTACTTCATATAAAATCCTCAATGACACCGTCGTTCGAAGTGACAGTTATTGAAATCGTCATACATTTTTCAGTGAACTGTTGAACGGTACGCCGGTGTTCACGGCGGACGGTACTCGGGTCGGGAACTCTAAGAGGGCGGCCAAATATGGAATTGGACTCGTCTGCATCTCGAGGGTGTTGATGGCTGTGCCAGGAATGAGTGAGTTGAACATACGATAAATTAAGTTTAGGAGTTGTCTTAGATATTGGGTAAAACATATTATTATCACTACAGAGTATAAAACACATTCGCTCTCTCTGTTCCTATGTATGTCTGATTAAATCTTTAAAACTACGCAACGTTTTCTGATGCGGTTATTTTTAATAAAAATTCTCAATCGATTTAACATTTATGCGAACTATTCCAATAGAATTTGTAAACCTTTGAATTATTACATTTTACATTTAATTAGAGCGCCATCTGTTGTATTTTTGCGAAATATCATTTTCTAAATTTAAATTATAATGTCAATGAGCAGTTTGATAACGCCTCTAATTATAATGTATATAATGTAATATACAATTCCGTTTAAATTGATATCGAGAAAGCGTTACGTTTTCAGTCTATTTGATGTTTGTACTATGTTTATGTGCCAAGATATTTTCAAAGACAACTCAAACAGAGAGTTATCTTTGGATAATATTGATGTATGTTATTTTATTTTTACAGCGTTGACTCCTATCATAACGAACATAGCCACGAGGCGCGGCTTGTTCTGCCGGCGACCCTTGATGGTGATACCGTTCCAATTGTTTCTGGTCGGTCTGTGTGTTACTTTCGCCACGCCGCTGTGTTGCGCCCTCTTTGAACAGAAGGCTTCCATATCCGTGGACAATCTTGACCCAGAGCTCAGGGTAAGCTAGCTACGCCCCGCGGTGTTACCGATTTCCGGGATGTAAAGTAGCCTATGCGTTATTCCTAGATTTCAGCTTCCTGTATACAAAATTTTATCAAAATCGCTTCAGCCGTTTGAGAGTGAAGAAGTAACAAACATACACACACACTCACAAACTTTCGCAATTATAATATTAGTAGGTTTCTTTAATATTTTCTTTTAATTTTTCAGGATAGTGTCAGGAAGAACTACCCAAAAGTAAAAGAAGTTTACTTCAACAAGGGTCTATGAAGTAGTCAAATTGATGGTTCGACAACAAACATACCTCTACACTACATGTAGAATGTTCTTCTGTCAATTCCTTTTAGATGCATTTTTAGCTTTTTAATAGTACAAACATTCCAATATGTGATTCTTATTTATGGATCTGATTATTTAAAGCTCACATATACGTTATATACTTTGATATATATTTGTTGTTTTGAATAGTTTTGATTTTATAGCTTGTTCGGATAAGTTACGGCTCAAATTATTTAAGAAATGTGTTGGCAATATTAGGATAAAGTTTATGTGAACTGGACAATAATACGATCAGTTAATTTATTTATTTAAATTGTAAACGGAATATTAACAATGTTCGCAATAATATATGTTGTTAAAAACTGTATGAGTTTTATTTATCTTATATATTTCTCAATCAAACACTTTAGTTATTAAATAAAAGTTTATATTTATTAATGATTAAAATGTAAATTAAAATATACATATATAACGATTTTTAAAAAATGTATTTTAAAAATTCGCCACTGACAATAATATTGGCAATAAATTGAAGATTTAAATGACAGTTTATATAAAAAATCATATATATTAAGAACAAATAATACATTACGGTGGTTCACAATGTTTCCTAAATAAAAAATACATATTAATGTACAGGGTGACTGGTGAATTACTATCGATATTTGAGGACGTGATATTTGACGATCATATATGACAAAATAAAAATTAATATAACATAAATATTAATAAACTTCTAAGTAAAGTTAACCAAAAGTTGTGTAATTAATTACGCATCGTATGAACACCCTACAGATTAGGTATACACACACACTCACACAGACGCGGCGGCGGCGTAGTGTTGTATCAGCACGCCGCCGCACGCCTCCACACTTGGAACACTTGGAACGTGTACACACTTTATTTATTTATACGGAATTTTTGTCAAAAATTAAGTACCTATTTTTTTACATAATTCGAATGAGAATCATGTACCGAGTATTCTCCTTAAATATTGATAGTAATTCACCAGTCACCCTGTATAATGGACAAATTATAATTTGTTTTATATTAAAAATATTACCAAAATTATCTACAATATATAAAATTTATTAAGTACATGCATCTGTAGTAATATTTAAAAATTTATTAAAATTATATTTTTTAGAATTCAATCGTAGTTATTTAGTTGAGATTTAAATATATATAATTTATTCCTTGCATTAGATATACTATTAAAATTTAAAGTCAAAATAATACTTTAGATTTTACATTAATTTTATACTGTTTAATTATAATGGACAATCCTAATTTCATACAAAAATTGTCCTCAGTATGGACATTGAGTATTTAAATTGCATGAAAATGATATAAAAAAAATACATAATAAATTTAATATAATTTCTAGAACTTCCCAAAACGGGAAAAAAACATATATCAGCAAAAGCATTTATAGGAGCATTATTACTAATAGCAATTATAAAGCAATATATCTATTACTAATATGTATATAATCTATATATACTATTTACATTTATTGATGGCTCCTATATATAAGGGCAAATGTAGCAATTTGGACATTTTTATTTTTTTGCTTTAAACACTTCATAATACCTATTTAAAAAATGTATTTGTTGGTGGAAAGACTTAGTTTTTATTGCAGTAAAAAAACATAAGTAACACTTTAATGTAAAAGAGCTTATATAATGTATATTATAAAAAAAATATCCATATTAAAAAAACTAGTAAGTTTACAAAAAAGTTTATCAAACTTAAATGAAGTACATGCATGTCATATTGGGCCTAGTTGTTAAAGGGCCCGCCTCTCGTTCGATGAAGAGGGCGCGGGTTCGATCCTGGCAAGTACCAATGTGATTTTTACGAGTCATATGTACTTTCTTAGAGTATTTAGACACCACTGACAGACGGCGAAGGAAAACATCGTGAGGAAGCCTGGACTTATAGTTTCACAATTATAAGTTTGAAATTCCCAACCCGTCTTGAGCAAGCGTGGTGATTAATTCTCAAACCTGCTCCATGTGAGAAAGAGGCCTTTACTCAGTAGTGAGCTCTGATAGGCTGATGATGTATGTTATAGTTGATATGCAAAGTTTCAAACGCATCAGTTATATACAAGATACATTGAAATCAAATTTAAAACGCCTCTACTGATTTTTTTTTATTTTGCACATTGGCATTTTGTTTATGTATTAAATAATTTGTAATCCTATCTCTCTCCTCTACCAAAGGTTGCCTGGAAGAGATCGCTGTATAGCGATAAGGCCGGCTATTGTACATTTTTCTTTTACTCCTATTATTTTTGTCTATACTGGTTGGCAATAAATAAATAAATATGCTCATTGGCCCTTATATAGGAGCTATCTATATATAATCTATTCATTATACGTTATATACGCGCTCAGATAATTCCCAGCGTCCAATACTAGCTTGTGTGGGGCTTGAGGAGGTTGTTGGGGCGTTGGGGAGGGGGGCGCTGGCTCATCACGACGTCGTTTCCTGTTTTTCTTATTCCACGGAGCATAAGGTATCTTCAGATGAACGGTTTGTATGTGAAGCTTGACTGCACTGCTCTGTGTGAAGCGACGGTTACAATGCTGACACTGATATCGCTTTTCACCTGTGTGTACCTGGAATTAATAAATATATGTCTGTAAGTTTAATACTTTAGCAAAACTTACATTTTTATATAGCTTATTCAACGTTATTATATTTATTAATAACAACTTAAAATATCTTACAAGTCAAAAAAATATATATTTTCGTAAATTGATATCTAGTCTTAAATAAAAATCTGTTTTCAAACATGTCTACTAGAAAATTTTAGATAATATAATTTAAAACATCAAGACATTTACTTTATGATTATAAATAAATAATTAATTATAATATTAAGAAAAAAATATATTTAACGTGGAGTCCCTCCGTGCAGAAGTAGTTAAACTTCTTAAGTAGTGAAGTAAGAAGTAGTGAAATTTTTATTATTTCTTGATGACAAACTTTATTAATATTACTAACAAGTCTCTATTTATCGCCCCGCAGCGTTAAACGTTTAACGCAAAATCGTTGGAAGTCGTATAAGAAATTTCACTTCATAACGTCGTATATAAAGGATTTTATTTGATACTAGCTTTCCGCCCGCAGCTTCGCCCGCGTGGAGTTCGGTTATATCGCGTTTCCAAGAGAACCTTTCAAAAATCTGGGATAAAAACTATCCTATGTTCTTTCTCAAGGTCAACTCTATGTCTGTACCAAATGTCATTAAAATCTGTTCAGTGGTTTAGGCGTGGAAGCGTAACAGACAGACAGACAGAGTTACTTTCGCATTTATAATATTAGTAGGGATACATACCACTAAATGTCTGTCCCTGTTGCTCACCATACTGAATCTCCTCTGACAATGAGGACACGAGTATGGCTTTTCCTGTGTGTGTGTCCGCATGTGTACCAATAGGTTCGCGTATTGCTATAAAATAAATATATGTTAAGTTAATACAAACAATTGTATTTAAAAATATAATTTAATCTCAGTTATTTTTTCTTCTTATGTTTGATTAATGTTGTATAGTTATTTGGTGGAATTTTAATTTAATTATGCCTCTAATGATTTCTGAATTAAATTATACTTTTGTTCGAAAGCTAATGTGTGTATGTAAAATTATTATTAAAATAAGAAATTGATTATATCCAATAAGTATATATGTATACAAAGATACTTATTTAATGCTTTTTGTATATTAATAGAAAATTGGGTTTTTGAATAAATTTTTTTTTTGTGATAAATGGAAAGATCATATATAAGTTTTATAACAAAACTATTTTTATTTTATTTTTTTTTGCAATATTTAAAAAGTTATTTCAAAATAAAAATTAAATTTTAAATTCAGTACCGAAAACAAGCCGACAGCTCGGGAATAAACCCGAGCGCGTGTGACGTCACAATGTTAGTTTTTGCTCATTGTAGCATACAGAGATATAATAATTAGTACAGTGTTTTGAGTTTTTATCTAGTAAATTCTGTTGGCATTGTTAAATAATCAAAAGTTTTGTACCATTATGTACAAAGACTACAAAAACAACTCCTGAAAAAATGTTTTTAAATGTTCCACAAGACGAAAAACGTCGAAAGAAATGGTTTCAAGCAGTGCATCGAGATTATTCAAAAACAAAATCATTTTTTTTTGTTGTGAAGATCATTTCGTTGTAAGTATTCATAATAGTATTGTTATTAATTATTATTTATCTAAGTGTATAAATCGAATAAGTATAGTTCAATAATTAATTTTTTTACCTGGGCTCCAAATCATAACCTTTAGAATCGTAGCATTAAAAAATTTTAATTGATAATTCAAAGCGATTAAATAGTAAATCTATATGTATGTTTGTCTAATAATTGGACTTCAATTAATAGATATTTTCATAATTTTATAACATTCTAGGTTCTGTATCAGACTACATTTAAATTTTTAAAGTACATATATGTTATTTTGGTTTTTTTATAATGTTATAATAACATTTTATTAATAATGATTTAATGAAATAATTATTAATTATATTTAATAGAGAATAAATACTTATTTTCATTTAGAATATTATTTTTTAACAGACTTACCTTGATGCCTTATCACCTCGAACTTCAGCAGAATTAAACCGAACGTCATTTTTTAAAAAATTAGTTATCATAAATATATCAACATCAGGAATATTATCCGATTTTGCTTTTATAAATCCTTTATCACACATAGTCGAAATAAACTTTTCAAATCGTTTTTCACTAATAAATTTGAGATATTTTTATCAAGTTAAAGATAATAGCCATAAACACTGTACTATTATGAAATTGCTTTAACATTATGACGTCACAAGTATGCTGACCAATCATGGCGCGTTTACAATCACGTGATATATTTTTGAATTTTATCAATTTTTAATTGTTTATAATTAATTTAAAAAAAATATTTCAAGTTTTTTGCATTAAAAATCCAATATAATTAATAATAAAGTTTTAAAATACATAAAAAAAATCAATACTTTTTTTTTTTTCAAAAACCCAATTATAAAATCAATAAAAAAAACAAAACTAAAACAATTTTTCAAATGGCTATCTTTGATAACAAGTTTCGTATAAAATATCAAGCATTACCTTAAGCATTACATAATGTTAATTCAACTTAAGTTTAATATGTTTTATTCTCATTACAATTGTTACGAGCTATCGTACTTTGAACGAAGATTATTTTCTATTTCATATATATATATATACAGGGTGACTGGTGAATTACTATCAATATTTGAGGACGTGATATTTGACGATCATATATGACAAAATAAAAATTAATATAATATAAATATTAATAAACTTCTAAGTAAAGTTAACCAAAAGTTATGTAATTAATTACGCATCGTGTGAACACCCTACAGATTAGGTATACACTGACACTCACACATACGCATGTCGTGACGTGGTGTTGTATCAACACGTCGCCGCACGCGTCCACACTTGAACACTTGGAACGTGTCAACACTTTACTTATTTATACGGAAATTTTGTCAAAAATTAAGTGTATATATACAGGGTGACTGGTGAATTACTATCAATATTTAAGGAGCATACTCGGTACATGATTCTCATTCGAATTATGTAAAAAAAATAGGCACTTAATTTTATATATATATATATATATATTGTACATATTAACATAGCTTACCTTCGTTGTATGTCCACATATATCACACATATATCTCTTGAGATAAGTCGCCCCGGGATGTTCTGACTCGTAGTGTCGCTTCGCTTGAACATCGTTCGGTAAGTATTGCTGGCACTGAAAATAATGATAGATTTTAATAAGTATTAATTACAAAAATATATTTAGGAAAATAAAAATACTATAATCAATTAAAGTGCAATGAATTTTAATACAATTTATGTAACATCTTACAAAGGTATATGTAGTTAACGTTTGAAACTGTAATGGTATAATTCAAAGTTATTTCCATAATCTAATTTTAACCATATAAAATTAGTCTTTGGAATCTTTCAAAGCACAAGTTTGGATCGTTACACTATATAATAATCGTTCGAAGTTTTTCGTTCAATAACTCACCATAGCACTATAATGTACAAATAATTATAAAATAAAAACTGTTAAAGCTCCGTAAATTGTGTGGCGTTACATGTACTAAGGATAAAGACGTGCCATATATTTTGTTTCTCATATATAAAAGATATAAAAGAAGTTATAGTAAAATTCAAATGAGACAAAAATGTGTCATTAGACAAGAATACACATTAAATTCTAGACAATTTGTGCCCTTTCTTTGTAGTTTACAATTTCATTTACAACTTTATTAGAAGTAAGTTAGCTCTACAAACACATTTTTACAATTTACAACTCTATTTTCAATCCTTCCCAGAGGTAAGTTGCCTCGACAAAGACTTATCACGCCAAAATAACCCAAAAATAGTACATAATATCATCATCATCAGCCTATCAGCGCCCACTGCTGAGCAAAGGCCTCTCCTCACATGGAGAAAGTTTGAGCATTAATCACCACGCTCGCTCAAGACGGGTTGGTGATTTCAAACTTATAATTGTGAAACTATAAGTCCAGGTTTCCTCACGATGGTTTCCTTCACCGTATGTCAGTGGTGTCTAAATACTTTCAGAAAGTACATATAAACATTGGTACTTGTCAGGTTTGAACCCGCGCCCTCGGCAACGAGAGGTGGGCCCTTTAACCACTAGGCCACCAATGGCTTAATTAAATAGTACAAAATATGTTACTAACTATTTCACAGTGCGAAGCTGTTGTAACCCCAGTGTTAAGAACATCTGACCCGGAGCGGGGCCGGCCGCGAGGTCGAGACGGACTACACTTATTACTACGAGAAGGCTTGGTTGAACTGAAATTAGATATAAAATATATTTAATCATTTATGTTCTAGGCTATTAGGCTCAATTTAATATTATATCACATATCGTCAGGGATAGTGCAAATCCGCGTAACTGTCTTTGTTAATTAAATTAAAATTATTTAATGTGTTTTGGTTTTGACTAAAAATTTGATACAACTCTTCAAAACTGCTTTGACTTGTTATTTAAAAGTACTGACTTTATAAGATAACTTTTATTTTTAATGATTTTGTTATAATCCTATGTATTTATATTATGTCTTAAATATTATGTGAATATATTAAACATAATTTATAAGTCCCTACTAACATTATAAATGCGAAACTAACTGTTTGTGTCTGTTACGCTTTCACGCTTAAACCACTGAACTGATTTTAATGAAATTTGGTACAGACATAGGGTTGATCTTGAGAAAGAACATAAGATAGTTTTTATCCCATACTTTTGAAAGGTTCTCTTGGAAACCCGATATAACAGAACTCCACGCGGGTTAAGCTGCAGGCGGAAAGCTAGTATTTCAAATAAATATAACTCACACGTTAGTATCGGCGTGTTTGTTTGATGATCCGAAGTGTGTGTCGTAAGCTTTTTGATTCGTAAACTGTACTTCACACTCAGAACAATATAGGGATAGGGACGGAGTTGGCATTTCCTGGACTTTTATCTCCTGAAAATAGAAAAATAACTACAAATAAATAATAGGTACTACATTATGTAATTAGCCAAGGAAAAGATATAAATTTGGTAAATAAAAATAAGTAACGTTAGTTTAAAACAGTACAAGAAGGTAAATGTATTTTACTTTTTTACTCTTATGTTTTTTTACAGTATCAATTTAGAGTAGGTGTTTTATTTCCATACTTTAAATGTATCCGTAAAACAAATGACGTTATGAGGTAAAATTATAACACTTGTTTATATTTTTTATCTCCTTTCTTTGGACTACCTTCATCTCGTCATTAAATACTCTTTCTACGGTACACATGTAAATAACACCTTACTACAGATATCATAGTAAAATATATAAAATTATATATATTTTTAATTATGTACATATATATAGTTACCTCAGCACTGTGTGCAATCTTTTTATGGCAGTACAAGCCAGCCTCACTCACGTAACTGTGTCCGCATATATTACAGATATAAGTAGACGGATGTTTAATACGAATGTGGGTCAGACGAGTCGATTGCTTCCTGAAAATTAACAAAAAATATATTAAAGACGTGATTTCAAGTTAATGTTTAAATGGCAAGATTAAATAATAAACCAAAAATCGGAAGAATCGGTTAAAATTTAAAAAATTCGTATGGAAATAGCAAGTAAATGTTTGAACTCACGTAAAAACTTTGGTACAGTGAGGGCAGGAGTAAGTAACGTTTTTATGCCACTGATAATGTGACCTTGCTTGACCTCTGGAAATAAGAAAATACAAGATATTGGCGTGTTAAATTCGTCATTAATTAATACATTTCAATTTTTTATTTTACGCTTTGTATAACTAACTGTTTGATTTCAAATAACTATTATCTGTTCTACAAATTTTTCAGCAATTTTTCCTATTGAAGTATAATCATTAAAGATAAATGAAACTAATATTTTCGGATTTACGTGATCACGGATAAAGTAGCCGAAACGTCGGGAGTATGTAGTTTATAGTCAAAAATAAAAATCGCGTAGTAAATCCGAAAATATTCGTTTCATTCAAATGAGTACTACTGAAAATCTTAGATCTCATTAAACAAAGATAACAATAGAAAACTTAATTTTATGTACATATAATACTATACGTTTTTTTAACAAAACCTTATTAAAGTATTAACACATTTTTTTATATGTAGTAAACTTATTATTACAGTAATATTTTTTAAAGTAAATTAAATATGTATATTTTACCTGCTGTAACATACAAAACTGCACATTTGGCAGGAAAATTTAAAGTTATGTGTCGTGTTCATATGTTTATACATCTTTCGTGTACTGGAACAATGTATCTTACACATATCACACTGATATTTACCGGAATACACCTGCAATATATTAATATGAGAATTAAAATATAATAAATACTAATAACTGATTATTACAATTACAAATGTCATCATAGTATAGTCATATATATAGTATAAAAATATAAGTACTTAAGAATAAAAAAATATATTTATTTGAAACTGAAATTCCATGTATTTATTTCCGAAATATTACTAAACATGACATTATATCGTATAAAGTATTGTGACACAGTCAATAGATGGCGCTGATCATAAATTAACAATTACTTATCAATATAGATAATTTTAATATTCATACAGACAAAATCACAGTATATAATACTTACAGGGTCATGTTTCTGCATGTGCTTCTCATATGTAACCACTTCCCTGAAACCTTTGAAGCAATACTGACATTTGTATGGAGATTCTATATAATTCTTTGTTTTCTGCCTGTCTAGCACCATAGAATATTGTTCTACTTGTTTTATTGGTGTATATATTAAGAAATCTTCCGGGTCTTTCGGTTTAATCTTCTTATGAATATAAATCCCTTGCTTTTTCTTATCTATGTTAAGTCTTTTTTTATTTATTTTGTCGGTCACACCATCTTTCTTTGTACCTTTTGGACCATGTATCAACATGTAATGTCTTTTTGCTGAAAATCTGAAAATTCAAGCAATGGAAAATATTAATTTATACCTATATATCAATTAGGTCATGTAACTCATGCTACAATCAATTTTATTTTAATACTATAAATAACTACAGTTAGATTATAAGTTTTATGACAGTAGATATAAGAATAATGATTATTTTTTCATATAAAAATTACTAAATAGAACTTATAAAACTTTTTCTGGTTTTAAAACTACTTAACAATTAACTACTTACTTTAAAAATACAATACATTACATTTAAAAATTATATAAAAAATACTAACCTGTCAAAACTAACTTCAGGACAATTCCTACATAAATATTTATACATATGTTTGTCTTTATAATGGTTTTTGAGTAAAAATTCTGTCTTATAATAATATTTACACAGCACACAGAAATGTGAACCACTTACACTCTGAAATAAGAAAAAATATATATATAAAAAATCACATATAACATAGAACATACATAAGTCAAAGCAATTGCATAAAATATGCTTTATTCAATATTTTATGTAAGGAATTCATAGAAAAAAACACATTCTTATACTCATATATGCAACAAATAATTGCATAGCAATCACTTTTTATAATAGTTTATTCTTAATTTATAATATGTGTATGCTATTCATTTTTGTTTTATAAAATAAAGGCAAAAAATATATTATTAAAACAAATACAATTATATTTACCTCTACATGCATTCTCTTATGTAATTCTAAATTTTTTTCATTACAATAAGCCTTATCACAGATATCACAACGAAACTTTCCGAGTGCAAATTTCTTATTAATATCCACAACAGCCTGGGCTTCCTTCAAACTAATCGGGATTACATTACCATATTCCTCATTTAGAATAGAACCATCGGCATCATCTTTCTGCAATTCTATTACTTCTAAATCGTTATTACTAATATTTACATTTGAATCAAACATTTCTTCATTCTTCTCAATATTATTGCTTAGTCCGATAGCCATATCATATGAATTTTTCACATCTTCGCAATTTGATTTCGGTTTGAACGGCAATTCAAATATATTTTCCGTTGTACTACATAACATAACGGGAATATTGCCTTGGGGCTCTATACATGTGCGATTCTGTTTCAACCATTTGAATTTTATGTCCTCATACTGATGTCCGCCTTTAGTAGAGTCCATATAAGCTAAGCCTGGCTTAATATTAAGAATACTATAATCCAATTCATTTAATACAGATTGTGTTATCTGAAAAATAAAAGAATTTGTTAAAAAATCATAATTTTATTGTAAATTGGTTTAATTAAAATGTATAATATATTTAACTTACCTCATTATTTGTTTTTAAAATTTCTTGTAACACATAAAATGTTCTTTGGCATTTTTCACGAAATCTTATAAAACTTCTCACATATCCCTTACATTGATAACATAAATATTCTGGTAGACCAGTTCCGGAATTTGTCTAAAAATGTTGATAGGAATTAATTTTTTTTTCGTACAAAGTTTTGGTGAAATTCATTACGAATATTGAAGCAAACATTTTAGATTTTCAGCTTATACATACTAAGGGTTTCATAAAATAGAATTAAGTGATTATAATACTAAAATATTATTACATTTTTTTTTTATAGAATAAACAAAAATAACGAACATAAACAATAAATAAATACCTTAAGCCCAGCTACTAAGTAGAATTGTTGTCTAAGTTGACCATTATTCAGGCTAAATAACTTTACATCGGCTTTTAAACACACAACACATGCCTTAAGGTCGAACATATTGTTACTGTTATTTTATCATTCTTATAAAAATACTAGCTCAGTCACTAAAAATCCAAAATCAAGAATTCATTAAAATATACAAGCAGAACATAATTAGTACTAACTCTCTAAGAAAGAGTTTTGTTTAATGCTTGTTTATTCTACTCTATGGTCTAGTTGACATTTCGAACCGTAGAATAAATAAAAAATTAGATCAGCCACTAACATTATTTTAAGTAGTGGAAAATACCGTCGATTTAAAATACAACATAATATTATATTGTTTATTATTGTTTATATAGTAGTGACAGTAATTATTCAAATTTCTTTATTATATTAAAAATAATTAATCTCCTTAATCGTATATAATCCAAATCTTTATTTGAGGGTTCCATTGGGATAAATTAATTAACAAAACAGCCATTAAAGGTAATTAAACGTTTATATTTCTTTAATAATTTTAGTAATGATGACTTAAAAACTTTATCGTAATGCAAAAAAAAAATTGTGACCTTTTACAACCAAGACGTGAAGAACTAATAGACTTTAAAAAGTCCTAGGGACTACTGAGATACTGCTATAGAATGTAGGTAGAATTTTATTGCGGAAATTGCTGAAAAAAATTGCGGTGAAAAAAATCTTACCTCTTCTTTTCTACTGTTTTTAAAATATGTACTAGCTTTCCGCCCTCGTCGAGTTCGTTTACATCGCGTTTCCAAGAGAACCTTTCAAAAGTCTGGGATAAAAACTATCCTATGTTCTTTCTCAAAATGAACTCTATCTCTGTACCAAATTTCATTAAAATCAGTTCAGTGGTTTAGGCGTGAAAGAAAAACAGACAGACAGAGTTTCTTTCGCATTTATAATATTAGTAGGGATTTTATTAACAGTCTTTTCCTACTTAAGCATGAACATTGTAAATTCGATCAATACAAGATCTTGTTTTTTGAATTTTTTTTCTTTTTTCTAGGTTTACACACTTTAAGTGTAAATCGAAAGTCCCTATAAATAGGTCCTATCTATCAATTTATCTCCAATCTGTGATAGTTAGTCAATTGAAGTTTTCACAGATGTATTTCTATTGGTGCTTTAACAAGTATTAAAAAAAACAAAAAAAATAGACATGATTTTTCAGTTGGTTTTATACATTGCGTTAGGAAACTCTATACAGCGTGTACAATGAACCCTTGTCCGTGTTCAAATTCAGCTATTTTGTAAAATAATAAAAGTTATTATTATAGTTGATGCTCAGAACATGTCTTATTCGAGTATGAAGAATTCTGAATGGCATACAAAATGTAAACACCCCGTAGTTTTACGTGAGGTTTAGTTGTAACACAGTGAACACCCTACACTATAAATATAACCTTTGTATAATGGAACTTCAACATTTGATATATATGGACATGATCAAATTAGGACATATTTTTTACCAATATGCAAAATAGATACAAATTTTGCCAAATAAAAGATGTAAAATCAATTTTTTTGTGTATAATTTATTAACAACATTCAGAAAACTTAATAGTACAGAATAATATAAATAAACAGAGTTTGATTTTAGAACATTTAGCGGTACAATAAATTAATTAGCTACATACGGTCAGATTTTTCTAACTCTTATCGTCCTCAAAGATTTTAATGTCTTTTTCTATTAAAGATTTATCATTTTCTATTGATGCGAATGGCTCTGGAAGAGTGTTGGATAAAAGAAGGGGCCAAAGAAATAAAGCATTAAAACGTTCCATTAAAAGAAGTAATTGTTCTTTAAGAATAACGTTTTTTCTAAGTATCTTCTGCAAGTTAAAAGTGTCGTCCCTATTGGGTTTGCTGCTTAAATAGGACATAAGTTTCCTACAACCAGTTATCGTCGCATAATGTGGTGGAAAGACATGTTCTAACGGACCGAGACAAACTTCACCCCAAATATCGGGTTTAGAATTAGCATTAACATTATTCTTTTTTATATTCTCCTTAGAATAAGATTTAACTCTTACAGAATAAATGTCATTTTCTGATTCAATCAAACCTTTATACCTAGGATCGCCCTTTTGAATGAATTTCTTTTTATTTAACTGCGAGCGTAGTAAAATTAAAACCTTCTTCAAACTTGATAGATTGTAATCATTGCTTGTTCTATTTCTTTGTTCATTACTATTCTGTGTATCGTAAGACGTGTGACCTTTCCTAGCTTCTTCTAATCTAGCATTTTCCGTAAGAAGCGTAGCAATAATTGCATCTTCAATAACATTTTCGGGGGAATCTTTGGTGACCTTTTTCTTCTTATTGTCTGTGAGTTCTGATTGAATCTTCGTTTTTAAACTTTCAATGGCTGAATTCAGGTCATCAGATGATTGGCCGTGACCTAAGCGTCGGGCTCCTCGTCTGGGCGCTAAAGCTATATCCTGATTTGGATGCAGTCGCATCCACTTAGTTAACGTCAAATATCGTGATCTCAAATGGAACCTATCTTTTCCTTCGAAATACGGAACTAGAGTTGAATAATTAATGTTTGAATCTTGATTTGCCATTAATTGCACTAGTTTTCTATCCTCGTCCACTGTCCAAACAGCCGAAATTCGTTTCTTAGCTAACACTTGATATCTAACTCTTATCTGGGCCGCAGATCTTCCTGGAAGGTATTTTGAGATTTTCTTATAGTCTTGTCCGAAACTATCAACGCCTGTCAATATAACAGCGTCTTCTTCGGGCATAAACCTGCCTTTCCTGTGTTCCTCTAATCGTAAAAATTTGTTATAAATCTGAATCTTAGTCCTATTCTCCATAGATGATGCAACTTTACCCCAAGGGATGTAGTTATCGTGTTTGTAGTAATCAATTAACCTTTTGAGATATTCCTCTTCCTCCTTAGTCCATTTCATACCTGTGAATGTATTGCTCATATTTGTTCTGAAATATACAAAGCACTGATAACTAGTGCGTCTAGTGCCTAATTTTAATGCTATTGTATCCCAATTAACAAGATTCTCTTCTATCACTATTTTTTGTAGTAATGTGTGTTCTGTTTTATTCCACGGGCTCTTATTGATACTTGGATGGAGGAATAACTTCCAAAGTGATCGATACTCTTGTGCGCTGTGTCTGAAATTCAATTTATGGGCTACAAAGTCCCAATCATACTCTTGGTCGATGGGTAAAGCTAGATCCTTTAAAGCCATTTTATTGATTCTATCCATATCTCTATTTAAAGCGGCAATCATTCTGACATTTTTCTTTGTTTCATTAACTTTACTTTCACGTTTTAACTCTGCTATTTTAGATTTTATCTCATTCTTTTTAAGAGTTTGGGAAAGTTTTTGCAATACAACTAAAAATTGACTTTTGTCTTTAACAGTCCAACCAGCAATGGAAGCTATGTTTGAAAAATCATACATTCCAGACTTAACCATTAATATTGTATCCTCGTTATCAGGGGCTGGGAAAAAGCATCTATCTTTAAAGTATGGTTTACCGCAATTAACATAACGGAACACTTCTTGTCTGTCCTGTCTGTCAGAAAGATCTTTATCTAAGTTTTTAATTTCATTGAGTTTATCCCAGCATTCACGGAGGCGATTCTGTAGTATTTTTTCTAATCTCTTCAGTTTATCATCGCACATTTTATTAAGGGCCAAAGCAGCCTCTATTTTGGAATATTCCTCATAGTCGCCAGTACACACACTGTATGACATCGAGCAATGAGAAGCTGATGCGCTAGGAGGTCCATCGTCGATTAATACTGCATTTAATTGTTCTAAATCCTGAATTTCATTATCTTCGTCACTGTCAGTTTCCATTAGAAATTCATACATTTTGATTATACTTAATTACTTATGACTTGATTTTACAATGAAACTTATTTTGTATCTTTTATATTTATTCTAAAATAGCTACTGTTAGCTATCTATCAAATAGGTTTTAAATATATTTTTGTTTTGAAAAAACCTTCTTAAATATTGATGTATAAGTATAATAAATACTGTCTAAAGGTATCACTTGACAAGTTAACTAAATATTTATCAAAATTATAATAGACAAAACTTCTTTTGAGATAATGTCAAAGTTAAACTGTCAAGATCAAAAGCTTGGCTATGATGTACTCTGTGCTTTTTAACACCAATTTTATTTAAAATATGTCTTGACTATTGTATTTCAATTATACTACAATATAAATTTACATTTCCAATAAATAGAGTAAATTGCAACAGAAAAATAACTCTTTGCAGCATTATTTCAATTGATATTTGAGAGACAAATAATTTATTACAAGAGCTTAAAGAGCTCAGCTCTTTGTCTTTACTCTGTACTCTGTAGTATCAAAATTTGAAATTTCGATGTTACAAAACATGTAAAGTTGTAAACATTCTTAGTTATTATAGGTTTTAAGGTACAGAATTTGTTAATAATAAGTTAGTGTGTTATGAATATAATAAACTTTTAATATGATTTAAAAAATAATTCGTCTATCAATGAAGTCATAATGTGCGAACCAGGAATAATAAGAAAACTTGACGAAGAAGTAGTCAATCGTATCGCAGCCGGCGAAATAGTACAACGACCAGCAAATGCTCTAAAAGAACTGATAGAAAATAGGTAACTTTCCAAAAGATTAAAAGGTCATATAATGTACCCAATAATGTTATAAATAATGATATTTAAAAAACACCCTTTCAGTTTAGATGCCCATTCTAATAATATAATAATAACAGTAAAAGCCGGCGGCTTGAAGTATCTACAGGTATTTATGTTTAAATAAGTTTTAATTTTTATTTTCAATTCAAATTCAAGTGATAAAACACATTTTTATATTTCTCTATAATACTATCAACATTCAAATAACTTCGATAAAATTATTAGTTAATTTTCCTACGAAACTACAAATAACACTACATTATCTCTATTCATATTCTGTTTACTTCAAGGACATGATTATGGTCAATGAATATTATAATAAACTAATATTAAAGGCAAAATACAGATCCAGAATGACAATGTGAAATGTTTTTACTTAATTATTACTAAGCCTCTATATTTCATACATGTATTGTTTTTTTTTAATTTAGATTCAAGACAATGGCACAGGAATTCGAAGCGACAACTTAGATATAGTCTGTGAGAGATTTACTACATCTAAATTAAAGCAATATGAAGATTTACAAGCTATTAGTACCTATGGATTCCGCGGAGAAGCTTTGGCAAGCATCAGTCATATTGCACATTTGACTATACTTACAAAAACTGCTAATGAGAAATGTGCTTATAAGTATGTTTCTTGTATGTATTATTACTAAAATAACTAGAAACTCTTGACTAAAGCAAAAGCTTAAATTTTAGACTTATGTAGTATTAGTATATGTATTATATTATATTTTTTTTTAGACCCATAAACTTGGTATCTTCATGAGAAAGATTGCTAATTTTGGGTTTATTATTTTTAAATGGTTTCACTCCTATAAGTTTTGCTTATATTACCAAATGAATTCAATTTTTATTCTGTACCAGCTGTTGTTAAAAAAAAATTATTTTTGTAAAATAATTGGTGAGAAAATGTTAAGTACAGAAAGAGCATGATAATTAAAAAATAATTATAAAACATTTTCAATTAAACAGAGTTATAACCACTAGTATATATATATAACCCAAAGATCGCCAAATATTTGTTATAGTTATTTAAAAAATTACATATTTCAATCTTTTTAGGGCATCTTACGAGAATGGTAAATTGAAAGGTCCAATTAAGCCTTGCGCTGGTAACAATGGCACCCAAATTACTGTTGAAGATCTGTTCTATAATGTGATAGCTCGCAAACGAGCTTTAAGGAGTCCAAATGAAGAATACACACATATAATGGAAGTAGTTGGGGGGTATGCCATACATAATAGTCATGTTGGTTTCACATTGAAGAAATTTGGTGAAAATACAGACATCAAAACACCTATAAAATCTAGTGTTATTGATAATGTGAGAATTGTAAGTATAATTGTCTTTTATAAAAAATATTTCTCAAAGGTTTTGTTGACTAAAAGATATGGTTTGTTTTACTTTTTTATGAAATAGAAAATTATATCTTACAATATTCAAATATTAAATAATTTCAAATATTATAGTTTTGACATTTAGGTCAGTTTAAAATAATGCTTATGTAGATGTCTGAATATCTAATATCTAATATATTATAAAGCTGAAGAGTTTGTTTGTTTGTTTGTTTGAAAGCGCTAATCTCCGAAACTACTGGTTCGAATTGAATAATTCTTTTTGTGTTGGATAGTCCGATTATCGAGAAAGGCTGTACGCTATATAACATCACGCTACCACTAATAGGAGCAAAGATATAGTGGTAAATGTGAAAAAAACGGGAGAAATTATTTCATCTTTGAAGCCTTCCGTTGCGTGCGCCGTGAAAACGGTTCAAGATACACAAAAAATATGTACGAAAGAATAATAGCTCTTTTAATGATCTAAAAAACAGTCCGCGACAGTATATGTCTATCTTTTAAGATTAACTCACAAAAACCCTTTTTATGGTACCTAATTTGATCGAAATAATTTGTTTAAGTTGTATCAACATAATGATATTAATCTTTATTCAAATAAACAAATAAATATGTTGTTGGTTAAGACTACTTCATTGTAAATTTAAAAAAAACATAGGTTTTATCCTGAAAATTCTACGGGAACTCAACCATTCCGAAAACCCCGCAAGAACGGGAACTATGTGGGAAGAACCAAAAATCTGCCGGAAGTCACTATTCCACGCGGACGGAGTCGCGGCAAAAGCTAGTATCTAATATATAATAACTTGTATTAACATAAAATTGTTAAATATAGGAATCTATCATATCAAATTATTTAATTTACCTACATAGAAGCATGGAATGTATGTATTTATTCCTTTAATAGTATTAATATTGTCAGATAAAAGTTAAAACTTTTTGTATGAAGGCAATTTTGTTTTTTCAGATACATGGCAACACAATAGCACGCGAATTGTTAGAAATAGAGTATTGTGATCCCAAATTGCATTTAAAACTTAACGGATACATAACAAACGTTAACTACTCACACAAAAAAGGGGCAATGCTTCTATTTATAAACCATAGATTAGTAGACTCTATATGTATGTATATATTATAAAAAAAATTCAAATAATCTCTTTTTAATTATTTTTAAATATGTTTATTTTTTTAGCCATTCGCAAAGCCGTGGATTCTGTATATGCTACGTATTTACCGAAAAACGCCCACTCGTTTGTCTATCTGAGTATCGAATTAGGTAAACGAAAACGTTTTTTTTTTTCATATTATAATTTTAATAAACATCGTCGGCAAATCCACCTTTGCCACCTTTCTCATAGAAAAAATTTTGAAATTATTGTTATTTTTGCTTTATATATTTAAGATCCCAAAAACGTCGATGTGAATGTACATCCAACGAAACATGAAGTACAATTTCTTTACGAGGAACAAATCATAGAGAAAATCAAGAATACAATTGAGAAGAAACTTCTTAGTTGTAATTCATCTAGAGTTATGTATACACAGGTGAGAATATCATCTTTATATATATAATTCTTCTGTGAGTGTGTATGTCACTGAACTTCTCTTAATGAAATTTTTTGTGTGTGTTCAAGGGGATCTGGGAATGGTTTAGATTCACAATTTTGTCCACTGGACAATGTTTTTTAATTAATTTTTAATTTATTAGTAGTTGTTGATACAAACTTTTTTTTTTAAATTAGATTTGACAACTAACTAATATGTCAATCATTCTGTCGCTCTTCAAAACACGGAGATTTATGGCTGTAATAGGTAAACTCCAAAAATATGAATAAAAAAACGTAACAGATATTTCTTAATTATAGGGCGATACGAAGTTCGCCGGCTCTTCTAGTATACAGGGTGACTGGTGAATTACTATCAATATTTAAGGAGAATACTCGGTACATGATTCTCATTCGAATTATGTAAAAAAAATAGGTACTTATTTTTTGACCAAATTTCCGTATAAATAAATAAAGTGTGGACACGTTCCAAGTGTTCCAAGTGTGGACGCGTGCGGCGGCGTGCTGATACAACACCACGACCCTGCGCGCGCGTGTATGTGTGTGTGTGTATACCTAATCTGTAGGGTGTTCACACGATGCATAATTAATTACATAACTTCTGGTTAACTTTACTTAGAAGTTTATTAATATTTATGTTATATTAATTTTTATTTTGTCATATATGATCGTCAAATATCACGTCCTCAAATATCGATAGTAATTCACCAGTCACCCTGTATATACACATATATGAAGTATTTTTTTATAAATAAATCACCTAATTATGTATAAATTCTCTTTAAGGCTCGCTTGCCCGGTGCAACTATGGTTGAGGAAATTATCAAAAAAACAACAGACGGTGCAAAAGTATACGCAAAAGATTTAGTACGAGTTGATTCGGATGCTCAGAAAATAGATAAATTCTTCAAAGTAACTACAGTAGATAAGTCAGAAGAAAATAAAACAAATGAAATAAGAAATGAAATTATTAATAAAGATATTAAAGAAATTAATGAAGTAACAGAAACCATTGAAATTGTTGATAATAATGAAGTTATTGATGAAGCAGATGATATAATTAATAATTCTCTCGTATCAGAACCAAATGAAATAAAGACAAAGAAATATAAAACAGCTATTAATAGCAATGTTACGTACATAGATCCTAAGGAATCATTTAAAACAAGGACTTTTCAATATCAGAGAGTTGAAACTAAGTTGACTAGTGTACATCAATTGAGATTAGACGTTGAAAACAAATGTAATATGAATTTGAGGGAGATTTTAGCAAATCTTATTTTTATAGCCTGCATTGACTGTGAGCGGTCTTTGATACAACACTCGACTAAGCTTTATTTATGTGATACTACTAGATTGACGTAGGTTTAATATATTAATATATAAAATTTTATTCAGTTTATCATGTTGGGTAGTTAAAAAATTTATAAGTTAAATTTTAGGATAAAAAACCTTATATATCTTCTTCTTCCTGGAAATTTCCCAGCTTCTGCCAGGGTCTGCCTTACATGTTGTAAATAGTTTAGGCTAATTGTTTTTACGACCGGCTGCCTGCCTGACATCAACCCTCTTTGGGAATGCATTAATCAGTGATGTCTAAATACTCTTAGAAAGTACATATGACTCGAAAAAAATCACATTGGTATTTGCCAGGATCGAACCGGCGCCCTCATGTATAAGAGGCGGGCCTTTTAACCACTAGGCCACCACTGACTCTAAAAACCTTCTATATATTTAAATGCAAATAAAAATAACTTTGTTTACAGAGAGGAATTATTCTACGAAACTATTCTCTATGATTTCCAAAATCTTGGTTTAATTAAATTGTCGAATCCATTGCCATTAGAGGAACTTTTAATACTAGGACTTGATTCACACGAAGAGCAGTGGGACGATGAATTAGGTCGATAAATTAATTAATTTTAATTATGTAATATTATCATACAAATATATTTCCTTATAATGGTATTATTTTGTTCAGGTGATATGCGAGAAATGGCTGCTCAGATGACAAAATTACTTATAAGCAAAGGTCCAATGTTATATGAATATTTTTCGTTGGAAATTAATAACAAAGGGGAATTATTGTCTTTACCTTTGCTATTGGGTATGTATTTTAAGATTTTTTTAAGGAAATTAAGAAAATATGTATTTTTTTCTATGCACCAGCTTCATTCACAACGGAATGTAAAAAGGGCTTTTAATTTGTTTTACTCATATTATTGTAATTAAATTGCGTTCTGTGTTTAATATTCCTTTAATAACAGACATTTCAAAATCTTCTTCTTCTACCTGTCAATTTCCCAGCTATAGCCAGGGTCTGACACGTAAGGGTGTGAATAGTTTTGGCTAATTGTCTTTACGACCGGCCGCCTGCCTGACATCAACCCTATTTTGGGAATCAGCATTAATCAGTGATGTCTAAATACTCTTAGAAAGTACATATGACTCGGAAAAAATGGTACTTGCCGGGGCCAGGATCGAACCCGCGCCCTCGTGTATGAGAGGCGAGTCTTTTAGGCCACCACTGACTTCACATATTTCAAAATCTTGTTAAATATTGTTGGGAAAAGAATTAAATATACTTCCAATAAATACACAACCACACAAACATATATATATATATATATATATATATTTATGATCATTATCTTTTTTTCAGACGGTCACACGCCATTCATGGGAGCATTGCCAGTGTATTTAGTTAGGCTTGTAACAGAAGTCAACTGGGGCTCAGAAAAGGAATGTTTCGATACGTTCAGTCGACAGACAGCCATATTTTATTCACAACCAAACAGAGATCCATCTGAAGACATATTTAAGGCCGAGTCTTGGAAACAGGAGCATATAATATTTCCAGCTATAAGAAGAAATTTCTTACCGCCTAACAGTTTCGTCAGTAACGGATCTATATTACAAATAGCTAATTTATGCGACCTCTATAAAGTGTTTGAGCGTTGTTAATGTATTTGTTAGATTTAAGTGTAGGCATATTTTTTAATATTGTTAAGTTGAAAATAAATGAAGTTTGTTTTTTTTATTTTTGTTCCTATATCTCAAGAACCCACGACGGCCATATCTTCGTCATTTCTGTAAGTACATGATTCCTATAGAGGTAAAAACGATCAGCGAATATAGAATTCGCATTGTGGTTGCCTGGACAGGTAACAAGTAAAAAAAGTGTATAAAATAATATAAGTTTGTATTAGAGTTTAAATCTTAATTTTAAATGTTATTTTGGGACCTAAAGAGATTTTACCTTGATAGCCGGATAGTTTTAGTTAAACACTTCGAAAGTCCACTATAAGTGCGACTGTAAAATGTTGAGTCGATTATGATTTTATAGAAATGGTATAGCGATAAAAACTTCATAATTTAACTAAATAATTAATATATGTACATAATTCTCATATATCATTATTTGAACTTGTTGCAGTGCATTCGTACGGAAGATTCTGATCTCTCTATAACATTGTCTAAAATTACAAATATATTTATGATATGCAACTAACATAATTATACACGATGGAAGTAAGATATTACGATATTATGTTAAGACTCGTCCTGATTTGTGCGAAGTATTTAAACAAGATTGCTTTGGTATTAAACGGATCACCAAACCATTTTCTAGACAACCGATTGACTTGATACTGGAGTAAACTATACATACAAAAATGAAGCTCATAGGTAAACTCCGATTTCCTACGATAGTAAAAAACTTCAAAACGATATCGAAAGATTTTGTCGTGACCGCGATGGTAAATCCAAACACGCAAATAGTAAAAGCGTCTAACTATTCTTAGTTTCCCAACTCCCCGATAAGTAAGATGAGGCATCCTAACGACATCTTTTTAGACCCTGACAATAAAATAACAACTAATAATGCAGACACGAATACTTCTATGACACAATTACAATACTACACAAAACCTTCGCCAGCGAAAATTAGTTCACACTTGTGGTAACAGTGGGCGTTATGCAGTCCCATCTTCAATTCCTAACAGAAACAGACAAACCGAAAAAAAATATCATGGTGTTATACACTAACAAGTTAATTTCAGAGCGTCAATATTGGTCTCGTAATTATAATGGTAGATCTATAATATTAAGCCGTTTATATAGAACTAGGGTAATTTATCGCTTCCTTTTATGGATTTATTAATCCGTTCAGTTCAGCAACTATATTGCAGTTACAAATTTCCATTCTACATTTTTAACTTTTGAATTTAAATTTGACTCTAAAAGGATAAAATATCAAATATTTCGTATTCGTATAACAAATATTTCTAGTTTTAATTGAAATGAAAAAAAAAATATTATAAAATGATGTTTTATTATAAAAAGTAAGTTATGTATCAACAACATAGTTAGGATGTACCACGAGCAGAGGATCATCTTCAACTTCTTGATCGGACTTTTGTGTTGTTTTCAAACCAGTTGTCTGTAGAGGTATTATAACTTGATCCTGGAAATTATAATGATTTCCATTAAATATATTAAGGCTACAATTATAAATTGAAGTGATATTTTAACAAATTTAAATATGTATATGTCTTTTATAATAAGAACCCCAAAAAATAAGCACAAAAAATAGTGAAATATCGTAAAAAATAGTGTAATATGGCCAATAATATATATGTATAATATTTGAATTTTCTGTTATCATAATTTTATTTGTATTTATATATATGTATCTCTTTTTTATTACCTACACTGCACCTCTTTTCTAGTTGTGTCTATCTATCACATTTCTGTTATAGTACATAATGTAACTATTTGTGCTTTTGGTACATAAATTAATAATATAATATCATACTAACATGATACATGAGCCTGTCAATAACTTTTTCCACCAACGTCTTTCTCTCTAACAAATCATCTTCTGTCTCTATAGTGCCTTGAGAGACCAATTGTTCCAAATACCAACTCACTACTGCACTTTTACGCATACCCGCATTTTCTTCACCTGAAATATTAATACATATTAATAAAAAATACATTTTTAAACTTACATATCTATTATTTGCATATACACATACTTTGTTATCAAAGAAATTTGTTATACAACATAAAAAGATAGGTCATACAAGTTTGACTTGGTCTATTGGAATGTTAATACATAATTATTATGCCTACAAACTCAAATAATAATTAAGGGAACTTTATTTACAAAAAATCTCATACTTTTGGATGCAAGACTATAACCAAATGATTTAATTAGCATAAATGTCCACGATAACTTTAAGCAACCTTCTTATTATAAGTAAATTTAATATTTATATATTTCTATATATAATTTAATATGAAACCTTTTGATTCAGCCTCCTGCTCTTCCTTCCTCATGAACACAACCAACATATTACTAAGTGATTTGTACTCTTCAAATGATAGAGTTAATTTTTTCTTGCCAGATTGATCGGTTGAAGGGGTTTCAGCTGAAAAATATCATACAAGAACTAAATAAATAAAATAATCATTTTTATTATGCAAGACAATTCATTAAAATGCTCTTATTTGCTTGTAATACATATAAATATTGGAATTCTACTAAATTATTAATTTTTTTTGATGTTATTGACCTTGATTAAAAATTAAAATAAGATCTGTAGATACTATGTTACCGTGTTTGCGAATAACATATCGTGGAATGAAAGTTAAGAATATGTATACTGAACTTTCATTTGGTGTTTTCAAAAGAAAGGGCATAGGACACTTTTCATCCGATTGAAAAGAAAAAAAATAGTTGATCAAATACAAAATCTTCTTATATACTGTTTTTAAGGACGAATAGTTTGCCCAGTCGGCTACTTATTTTTAATTCTGAAACTAACGTAGACGAAGTCGCGAGCGTAACTAGTTCATAATATGTGATATTTATAATACCTGTTCCCGAAGGTGTATCTTGATCAACATCCATACTAGGTTCATACTGCGGATCCTCTTCATCCAAATGTATGTCGGGTTGTTCCACACGAATTATTGACTTGTTCAACAATCTGTTGTTAAAAAATACGATGAATTTAATGCAATAAACAGTTATGCGTGATATAAACCAAGTCCAACTAATAAAGAACCAAATAATATAGATAAATTAACTATGTATATAATAGTATAAAAATTGTATAAAGAAGATCAATGAAACAGAATCACAAATTATTTTAATATACAATACTACATTTATACATGATTTTAAAGTTAGATATAACACATATACAGGGTGACTGGTGAATTACTATCGATATTTGAGGACGTGATATTTGACGATCATATATGACAAAATAAAAATTAATATAACATAAATATTAATAAACTTCTAAGTAAAGTTAACCAAAAGTTATGTAATTAATTACGCGTCGTGTGAACACCCTACAGATTAGGTATACACACACACACACACACATACGCGATTGGCGGCGTGGTGTTGTATCAGCACGCCGCCGCACGCGTCCGCACTTGGAACACTTGGAACGTGTCCACACTTTATTTATTTATACGGAAATTTGGTTAAAAATTAAGTACCTATTTTTTTTACATAATTCGAATGAGAATCATGTACCGAGTATTCTCCTTAAATATTGATAGTTATTCACCAGTCACCCTGTATAATACTTTATCTTATTACTGATACTATAGATGAATTTCAAATTGAAATTATTCAATACGATCGCAATATTAATAAAGAATAATCATCGAATCTTACTCATATATTTTTCTATATAATCTAATTAAAAATTTAATAACAGTATAAGCGAAATAATGCTTTAATGTTGAAAACATAATTATGCGATGTTAAACTATAATTTCCACACTCCAGTACTTAGTAGTTAGTAATAATATATCAAAAGTAGTTTTATAATATGTTAGTTAATAGTAAGTAGTACCTGTGAGCCTCGGTAACGTGGTTGGTAGTAACATGTCCGCTGCAGTGCATTTTAGCCAACGCTTCACTTAGTCGTACCTATTACATACAAACATTATTAATAATTATATGAAAATAGTACTCTCAATATTATAAACTAAACTTATTTTTTAAGAATCGTAAACTCAGTACAATCGTGATAGGAAATTTGTGTGAAGCTAGTCTTAATATAATGATGTTAAATATGGTGATTATCGTAATGGTTCAGTATTACGGTAATTATAATCAATCATTAAAATAATTCTAAGGATAGTAGTACACTAGCTGACCCGGCGATCTTCGTACCGTCTTATAATCAAGAAATATCTGTTACACACACTACAAATTATCCTCTAGAAACAATGTGAAAAGTATACTAAGAAATGTTAAACGAATTATGTAGGTATTTTTTTATTCTAACTCCGGCTACAGACCAACTCCGACCGACATATTTGCAAAAAGCATGTAAATTTATTTTAATTTTTTCTTTGTTTTAATGGCAACATGAATACTACATACTGAAAGTGACACATTATTTTATTTAAAAAGTGAAATATTGTAGTATTTTTTTTTCTAATTATTTTCGTAATTTTTTCTTACATAAGAACCTTCTCCTAATAATAACAAATACAATAAAAATAAAGTGAAATCGGTCCAGCCATTCACGCGTGATGACGTGATGAAGGGAAAAAGGGATTCATTTTTATATATATAGATCATAATTAGAACGTCACAGATGGCGCCACTTGTATCACAAAATCGAAGAAAATATCTAGTATATATATAATAGTAGTTACCAATGATTCCAATTGTCGTACAGTTATTCTCCAACCACCACCCGCTGATTCACGAGAACGTAGACTTGTGTAGTACTCAACCAATAACTTGCCGGCTTCCTTTATTAAAAGAAAATATTATCAAATACTATTATAATGATATATACATGTATTATAATGATTATAAACCAACATAATATAAGAGATATAACAAAGAAAATTTAATGTCAAGTAGCGATTTTTATGAAATATTAATTAAACAAAGAATAGACTTAAATAAGAACAACAATATGGTTTATATGCAGTAGTTCGTTACAGTACATTTATTTACTAGTTGATGAGAAAGATTTAAAAATTATTATATGTAGAAACTCCATACATAAAAATAAATGAAAATAAATATTAATAAGGTAAACCATACTATTATACAAGGCATTGAACTAAATAAGAAAATTTTGTAAGAGAAAATTATAAGTCCTTTTATGTTAAGCATAGAAAAAAAATATCAAATTAGATTGATATTAGTAATTTGTCAGTAAATACTTTGATTATTTCATCTTTGCTCTCTTTTTGTAGTCTTTATATAACCTACAGTATACAGGGTGACTGGTGAATTACTATCAATATTTAAGGAGCATACTCGGTACATGATTCTCATTCGAATTATGTAAAAAAAATAGGTACTTAATTTTTGACCAAATTTCCGTATAAATAAATAAAGTGTGTACACGTTCCAAGTGTTCCAAGTGTGGGCGCGTGCGGCGGCGTGCTGATATAACACTACGCCGCCGCCGCGTCTGTGTGAGTGTGTGTGTATACCTAATCTGTAGGGTGCTCATACGATGCGTAATTAATTACATAACTTTTGGTTAACTTTACTCAGAAGTTTATTAATATTTATGTTATATTAATTTTTATTTTGTCATATATGATCGTCAAATATCACGTCCTCAAATATCGATAGTAATTTACCAGTCACCCTGTATATTATTAATATATATGTACACATTTAACCAACCTCAGTAATAATAGGTTTGAATGATCTCGCAAACGCTATATATCTCAATAGATCCTCTCTAGAGTACACACAGTCATATGTTTCCTCTTTATTACAATGCAAATCCACTATTTTCCTGGCTATAGCGTAATCAACCATTTCACTGCTCTCATCTATTAGTATGAAGAATAAATCGAATCGTGACATTATAGGCGCGCTGAGAGCAACATTCTGTTGTAAGGATTTAGCTCGGTCGTATCTACCGCCGATAGGGTTGGCAGCTGCCAGTATTGAGGTTCTAGCGTTCAGGGTTGCCCTCACACCGGCCTGGAAATAGATAATTATATTTATTAAGTTTATTATATAAATAGATTTCTAGAATATAATTTTTTACATATAAATTTATGAAGTAGATTTTCATATAATCATACTTTTTCTACAATTTCATCTAGAATAAAGAGCATTTATTCAATTTATCTACAATATAGATTCTTTGTACTTTCATATAAATATGCTTGTTTCAACAAGTTCATCTAAATGTACAGTTTATTTATATATTCATAAATGCAATCTCTACTTTTAAGTCAGTGGTGTCCTAGTGGTTAAAAGGCCCGCCTCTCATGCATGAGGCGCGGGTTCGATCCTGGCAAGTACCAATGTGATTTTTCCGAGTCATATGTACTTTCTAAGGGTATTAAGACACCACTGATTAATGCATTCCCAAAGAGGGTTTATGTCAGGCAGGCGGCCGATCGCAAAAACAAATAGGCAAAACTATTCACAACATGAAAGGCAGACCCTGGCTATAGCTGGGAAATTGCCAGGTAGAAGAAATGCAATCTCTACTTTTAATACATATATATATATGTATAGCATACCTTAGCCAATGATATGGTCTGTTGTTCCATAGCCTCGTGTATAGCCACCTGGTCCCCGGGATCCATCTTATCAAACTCATCGATACAACACACTCCATTATCAGCCAACATCAATGCACCGGCTTCTATCACGAAATCAAACGATTCTTCATCCTATTAATGAAATAATTATTTTTATTATAAAGCACAATATCAAATAATTAAACAATATCTAAATATTATAGATTACTTGCTTAATATGAAAATGATAGTATATTTTATGTTATGTCAATTTATTTTTCAATATGTTACTCGTACGTAATACGTTTTATTATTGTACATATATACATATATATTTTATTTATATATTTCACATATAATAGCATTAACAAACTTACAAAAACATCTCCAAACTGCAGAACAGTTTGTTGGCGAAGGAGGCGCTCTTACTTAACGTCTACATATGTTATTATAGCTACATATAACACCTATGTATGTACCGCTTAGTTTTAGGTTTACACGCACATACTTACATACATTTTTAATACACTTTTAGTACATTTTTTTTACATCCTTTTTATGGGTACATATTTTTTTTATACATATACTAGAAGACCCGGCGAACTTTGTATCTCCCTATAATCAAGAAATATCTGTTACGTTATTTTTTTATATTTTTGGAGTTTACCTATTAAAGCCATAAATCTCCGTGTTTTGAAGTGCGACTGAATGATTGACATATTAGTTAGTTGTCAAATCTAATGTCAAAAAAACGTTTGTATCAACAACTACTAATAAATTAAAAAATAATTAAAAAAACATTGTCCAGCGGACAAAATTGTGAATCTAAACAATTCCCAGATCCCCTTGAACACACACAAAAAATTTCATCAAATCGGTCCAGTGGCTTGAGAGAAGTTCAGTGACATACACACTCACAGAAGAATTATATATGTAAAGATATGTATGATAAATAAATTAGTATATATATTATGTATACCTTAACAACAGCAGCTGTAAGACCAGCAGCGGACGATGCCTTCCCGCTCGTGTAAACCGCTCGAGGAGTCATCTCACTGACTTGTTTTAACAGTTGAGACTTAGCTGTACTAGGATCGCCTACTATACACACGTTGATATCACCACGCAGAGTTGTTCCTAATGAAAATATTATATTTAGTATTACATAGAATATGAGAATTTAATATATATTTGCTTAGTGAGATCTAAGATTTTCGCGAGTACTCATTTAAATGAAACTAATATTTTCAGATTTTTACTTCGCGTTTTTATTTTTGATTTAATGAACTACATACATACTACGGACGTTTCGGCTACTCTTCAGCAAAACATAAAAACGCGAAGTAAAAATCCCAAAATATTAGTTTCGTATTTGTTTAGAACTTTTTTTTAATAATATTTGATACTTAATTAGTATTAATTTATTGAATGTAGACAAAAGTAAAAATAATTTGTAATTAATAACTTACAACTATGTCGCTTTAAAGTTATTGTGAAATGAAATCTGAAAGATACGCAAATGTAGACAATATAAAAGAGTAAGAAAATAAGTCAGTAGATTAATACGTGTGTGTGTGGTATTCCCGCTATACAGAGACATAAACAAGGTGAGCGACATGAATTTAGATGAATTATTTATGTACTAGTTCAAAATTAATTAATGAGATCTGAGATTTCGGGAGAGAGAGAACGGGCACTCACATCTCGTCTGCACGTTATCACGGTTGCTGTAAAGTATCCGAAACGTCGGGAGTATGTAGTTTTTATCAAAAATTAAGTCTCGTAGTATTTCCGCAAAATATTACGTTTCTTAATAACTTAATAACTTAATTTATTTATAATATTCATATTTTTTTTAGTTTCACTTTATACACTTTTAATTTAATGTATTAGTATTTTTTCTTACAAATTTAGTGGATAAAAATTGTTTACGATTACAAAGATTCACTACTTTCGCGCTTAAGTATTCCAAGCACAATTTTTTTAATACCTTACTTATTAAAATGTAAAACTAAAAACTATTGTTACTATTATATTTATTTTAGTTACTATTATACAGGGTGACTGGTGAATTACTATCAATATTTAAGGAGCATACTCGGTACATGATTCTCATTCGAATTATGTAAAAAAAATAGGTACTTAATTTTTGACCAAATTTCCGTATAAATAAATAAAGTGTTGACACGTTCCAAGTGTTCCAAGTGTGGACGCGTGCGGCGGCGTGCTGATACAAAACCACGCCCTCGCCGCGTGTGTGTGAGTGTGTGTGTATACCTAATCTGTAGGGTGTTCACACGATGCGTAATTAATTTCATAACTTTTGGTTAAGTTTATTAATATTTATGTTATATTAATTTTTATTTTGTCATATATGATCGTCAAATATCACGTCCTCAAATATCGATAGTAATTCACCAGTCACCCTGTATTTATATGTTTATATAAATATATAATGTTAAACATAGTGAGTTATATACCTTCTACAGTTGTTTTAGCGACGCCACCGAACAACATTAAAAGAATTCCTCTCTTCACTTCATTGTTTCCATGAATACTTGGAAATAGACTTGTAATCAGATTATTGTACAGATTACGGTCGCGAGACATTTCATACACCTGGAAAGAAGACATAACATTTTAGATGTAGGCAGTGGCGGCTGGTGGGTAATCGAACCGGTGGTGCACTTTACTAAAATATTAAAATAAGAAAATGCAACAAAACAATATAACGAGATGTCAATCACGTCTCAATTCGTCATACATCGGGTGCTCTCGGTAATGTTCGGCCGCTCGTGCGGCGCTCGAGAACCGACTCATTACTCGGTACATTTCTATGAACTATGTTTTGTTTCACGCGTCACGCGTATTAATCCGTGTCTCATACAAGATGTATTAGCAGTCCTCGTGCACTCGCCGAAGCGCACGAGATATTAGTTTAGTAAAGCGCTCAAACTTTTTGACCATAATTGGGAAATTTAATGTTTTATACGTTTTTGTATGTTTAAGAAATAAATATTAAAATGTTAATTTAAAAATAAAGTTGAAGTAATATTTTGTAATTTTTAAATCTTTTGAATTGGTGGTTCAGCGCACGAGTGCACTTCAGGTACAGCCGCCACTGGATGTAGGACTGGTAGTAAAAAGTATTTTGAAACAGTTAGTTTACACCATTAGATAATATTCTCTCACAAGTGAAGCTTCTTGTATGATTATTTAAATACCTTATTGAATGTTCCAAAAAGGTTGATCGAACGTTTAACGCTCCTGGAGTGATTAAAAGAGACAGAGTGAGAAGTAATGCGTGTCGTTTGAAAGTTTACGCGCAATCAATAGTGACTTGTAAGTAATGATAATAATGTTTATCTTAAAGAAGCACTAAAAATACACAGTAGATATCAAAGTAAGGACATTTAAGATTTGTTTGTGATATTATTTATTAAATAAATTTTATATCTATGGACTGTATAAGTGATTATTATATATTTTTTTGTTGGATTTCCTCATATAGTTTTCATGAATAACATCTAATAGACTATACCTTGTCCCATTCTTTGTCTGTCATTTGCTTCCTCATATCTTCTGAAGTAAGATCATCCGCAGCTAAATCTGAAGTACCGAATCTTCTTGATGTCGCTTGAACACTACACGCTAGGAAGGCGGTTCTGGAATATTTAATTTACGACTTAATAAGCATTTGACTTTAAAAATCACATATTTTTTCATTATTTTGAGTTATTGCCAGTAGAAAATAATTAATAGACAACATAATGTAAAGACATTCTGCAGTTTGATTGACATAAAAATATGTATAAAGGCAATTTAATATTAAAAAAAACTTTTCTAACCAATATAAGTTTGAAGTCAAGGGCATTTCTAAAGTAACATATAAAATTAATTCCTAATGATTTTTAGTTTGTATATTCACATATAACTTCCTTATTTTCTCTCGAATATAATACTTAATATCAAATCACACATAATACATATATAATTTTGAGACTTAGTTTATTATAGAAGATATAATATTATTATTCAACGTATATAACCTACTTGTAATGTAATTCCCGTACTCCCAAAGCCTTGAGTCCCTTTATTCCTTCCATCTGTCCCTCGGTTGCCATCTTAGTTCTAGTCGTTAACTCGGCCTTCGCCCCCGGCATAGATAATGAACCAACATCCGGCACCACTATAAGAGTACCAGTGAAATCATAACGATCGCCAGCCTGTAAGTTTGAAAATATATTATATATTTGGACTGAAATTTTTTCGATACATATATTATATTATATATATGATAATATAAACAAATCTATACAAATAGATATAATGATTTTTTACTGAATACATATGTATATATCTATAGTAGGTACATAAGGCAAAATAACATTTATCTGTAATTTTCTGTCTTGTTTGTTACTGCTAATCTGGGATTTTTTTACGAGTTATGGTAGGTTTTATGGTAGGTAGCTTATGTAACAAGGAGTACATAACGAAAAATAGACATTCAGTACAAACAATCTGACATGCTAGTAGTGGCCTAGTGGTTTAAGGGTCCGCCTCTCGTTGCGGAGGGCGCGGATTCAAACCTGGCAAGTACCAATGTGATTTTTCGGAGTCATATGTACTTTCTGAGAGTATTTTGACACCACTGACAGACAGTGAAGGAAAACATCGTGAGGAAACCTGGACTTATAGTTTCACAATTATAAGTTTGAAATCACCAACCCTTTTTGAGCAAGCATGGTGATTAATGCTTAAACTTTCTCCATGTGAGAAAGAGGCCTTTGCTCAGCAGTGGACGCCGCTGATAGGCTGGTGACGCATCTGACATGCACATATTGTATGCATGCATGTATTAAATACCTGTACAGATTCCACAGCCTCTGCTCTCAATATGACTTCAAGTGATCTTGGTATGCATCCCCTTGGCAGCTCTGCCTGTGTCTCTTGAATTCTTATCTTTTGGAAGTCCACAAACACAGATTTATCGGCATCCAACATAAAACGGCGACGATTAGCGCACACTGGATTACGACATATTGTGGGAATTGTGTACTGGAATATGAAATATTCAAATGTAAATATATTTAAATAATATATATGTATGTTTGTTTGTTACTCTTTTAGCAAAAAAAGTACTGATTGTAATTTAATGTAACTTTACAATTATATAGCTTATGTAAAAGATTCATATATACTTAATAAATTATTTTTAAAAGGATAAAATGTATAATGGTTGTACCATTATACAGTCCCAAGACATGGACAATAGATGGCACTAGTAGTTAGTATCTTAATCTATCTATATTAATAAAGAGGAAAGATTTGTTTATTTGTTATGAATAGGCTCCGAAACTACTGAACCGATTTCAAAAATTCTTTCACCTTTGGAAAGCTACATTATTCCCGAGTAATATAAGCTATATTATATTTAAATAAAAATAAGGGATCCTTACTAAAACTCCAATAATGTAACCCCAGGTGTAAAAAAATGATCTGAAAAATTCCTTACGTCGCATGCGCTGCGAAAACTATTGATGATAGAACCAAATCATTTGCTACGACTTTGCAGAACTCATCATCATCTACAAAAAGTGTCGCGACAGCATATGTCTAAATATTATAGTTATGTCACAGTAAGCGGTTTTTTATTCTAAAAATTTAATTTATATGCCGCCGCTTGAAAAGGCTCTTTATTTGTACCTTGGTATTAATCCTTATCAAAATAAATTACTTTATATTCAAGACGGCTTCAATACCTTTTTATAACTTTTTGAATTATTCAATTCGGACATTTCATTCGGAAGATATCTTGAGTTTAAAAATGCAAGTATTAGAAAAAAGTCGCGTGGTTGACGCTCACCGCGCTCAGCTAGCTAGCATGCGATGTAGGCTCCATGTAAGCGTCACTGGGGTACGGGGGGAGTTAATCCCAACTAATATTATAAATGCGAAAGTAACTCTGTCTGTCTGTCTGTCTGTTACGCTTTCCCGCTTAATCCTCTCAAACGATTTTGATGAAATTTGGCACAGACAATTTTTAGACCCTGAGAAAATATAGGCTACCTTTTATTGCGAAAAAGGGGATGAAGAGGTTGAAATAGGGGTTGAAAGTTTGTACGGTATTTCTGAATTTTAAAAGAGAAAAACATGAAACTTTATATTTAAGCACTTGATAGGATATATTTAAACATTTGTTCTAGCGTTTTTGAAATTTCGACCAGTGAAGGGGTGAAATAAGGGTTGACAGTTTGTATGGGATTTCTTAATTTTAGAAGATAAAACCATGAAACTTTATATTTAAGCACTTGATAGGATATATTTAAACATTTGTTCTAGCGTTATTGAAATTTCGACCAGTGAAGGGGTGAAATAAGGGTTGACAGTTTGTATGGGATTTCTTAATTTTAGAAGATAAAACCATGAAACTTTATATTTAAGCACTTGATAGGATATATTTAAACATTTGTTCTAGCGTTATTGAAAGTTCGACCAGTGAAGGGGTGAAATAAGGGTTGACAGTTTGTATGGGATTTCTTAATTTTAGAAGATAAAACCATGAAACTTTATATTTAAGCACTTGATAGGATATATTTAAACATTTGTTCTAGCGTTATTGAAATTTCGACCAGTGAAGGGGTGAAATAAGGGTTGACAGTTTGTATGGGATTTCTTAATTTTAGAAGATAAAACCATGAAACTTTATATTTAAGCACTTGATAGGATATATTTAAACATTTGTTCTAGCGTTATTGAAATTTCGACCAGTGAAGGGGTGAAATAAGGGTTGACAGTTTGTATGGGATTTCTTAATTTTAGAAGATAAAACCATGAAACTTTATATTTAAGCACTTGATAGGATATATTTAAACATTTGTTCTAGCGTTTTTGAAATTTCGACCAGTGAAGGGGTGAAATAAGGGTTGACAGTTTGTATGGGATTTCTTAATTTTAGGAGATAAAACCATGAAACTTTAAAATTATAGATCATTTAGTTTTGAAATAACTGAGATACGGAGTTTTGAGACAGCACATACGCGATTTTCTCATAGTGCACTTGGGAAAGCCCCATACAAGGCCGTCCCAAAATCGTATGACGTGAAAGTCGTTGTTATGGAATAAAAGTAATTGATTAATTTAGTCTTATAAATAAGCTTTGTTTTCTATATTTAAAATAAGTTTTTGCAAACCATAATGTGTATAAAAAGGCATAGCTAACTCATGTTCAATGATATAATTTAGGCATAATACATTACTATAATTCAATGCCACATTACTCGAAAGTTTTTGATATAAATGTATATAAGTATTATAATTTTTGAAATGCTTATAATCTTCTTATAGCGTTTTTGTTAAATAATGTTATGTATAATAATTAAATTAATTAAAATTAACCACCATAGTTTAAATGGTATAATTTTCGGCTTACTTTTTTTTTTAACGAGTCTTACCCGTTCACTGCTGTTTGCCGATGTCGAGATATTTATTGTTTTACGATCTTTTTACATTAGTTTACACAAGGAGAAAAAAAAGTTGTGCATATTTGCGAATTTACTGATACGGTGCCAAAACATAATTAAATATATATATATTTTTTTTATTTTTTAAATAATTTAATAGACATAATTTTCAAAATTGTTATTTTTTATATTAAGACTTATACTTTCACATATATGTGTGCAAAATTATAGATAATTCAGTTTTGAAATAACTGAGATACAGAGTTTTGAGACGAACATACGCGATTGTCCCACTGTGCGGCTACCGACGACCGACGGCAGCGGCGCACAGTGGGACAGCGCCATACAAGGCCGTCTCAAAACACCTTCACATGAAAGTCGTTGTTATGCAGTAAAACTAATTCATTAATTTAGTCTTACAAATAAGATTTCTTTTCTATATTTTTTAAATTATTATTTTTTGCAAACCATAATATATATTAAAAGGCATCAAAGTTGACTCATGTTCAATGGTGTTATTTTGGCCCAGTAGGTACATTATACTACAATTCAAAGCCACATTACTTGAAAATTTTACTAATATTATAAATGCGAAAGTAACTCTGTCTGTCTGTCTGTTACGCTTTCACGCCTAAACCACTGAACTGATTTTAATGAAATTTGGTACAGAAATAGAGTTGACCTTGAGAAAGAACATAGGATAGTTTTTATCCCAGACTTTTGAAAGGTTCTCTTGAAAACGCGATATAACCGAAATCCACGCGTGCGAAGCCGCGGGCGGAAAGCTATGTCATATAAAAATACTAATAAGCAGACTATTTATATCTTATCAAACACTACCAAAGTGCATATGAATAAAGTGAAGAGAAAAACAGTAATTAAAACTATTTATATACTTTGATGGTTTAAACGATTTAGGGTATTTTTTTGGTACTATTAAAACTGTAAACTTACCTTAAATTGTTGTTCAACATTCTTTATAACGGTTTGACAATCCAAACAGACAAATGTACCTAAAACCAGTTCAGGATGAACTGGGTGCGTTCTTACAATTTGACCGGATATTCTTATTAAAGTACCAATTTTGGCTGTTGTTAGCTCCCTCACTTTATGTCTTGTTGGTACATCAACGAATGAAACATAGCATTCTTTTGCCTGCAAATCTTTCTTTATACCGCTATCGGCAAAGCTTAATACATAGTTCAAGATAGCTTGGTTAAGAAATGGGTATATTCTGTAATATTCCTCGATAATTGTTGTAGCTAGATTCTGGTTGTATTTTTCAACGTCATCGAAACTGACTTCTAATGTACTTAATTCTGGTTTCAGTAATTCCTTTGCTTGCTTTTCATATTTTAATTCGTGATCTTCTTTAAACCTGTAATTGTATAATTTTTTTTTATTAATTTAATAGTGTTTATTTTACAATTTGGTACAAACATCACAAAAGAGTAACCAAAGTCTTCTATGATACAATTTTGTTCCTCTCTAAATCAATTTATGATTTTATTAAAATAAACCAATTTTTTTTAAATGAAAGACACAAGAGAAATTACATTATCATATAAAATTTTATTCTTATTTCAAATATAAAATAATAAAATTTAACAAAAACAAATCTTTCAGGTATTTTTACTGTAATATTTATGCAGATTAATTATGATATTGAAAAATAAAAATGAAATATAAGAGATTTGAGCAATAGTTGTAAGTGTGGTATACTACATACTTTTAATTTAATAATATTAAGGATCCAAATGCATCAATTGCCATAAAGATCAATCCACCTGATTTTACAATTAACTTAAAATTTTCTGATACATTTAATAATAAAATATAATACTTCCATACATAGTCAAACTTGAACCAAATATTATTTGAAGTAATGTTGAATTATTTGATTAATGTTTCGGAAATAGAAAAAAATTCCAAGATATTAAAATCAAATAAAACTTTAGTCTCAAGGTATACAAAATGTGATGAAATAATAAAAAAAAAACGATCCATACTCACTCTTCTAAAAAATCTTGAAATAACTTCTGGCAACGAACTCCAACCTCATCTTTTACTTGGCTTTGAGTGGCATATGTGTCAGCTACATCCATTTTAGTAAAATGTTAAGGGAGACAATAACTCACACCGCAAAAATATCTCGTTTAAACAACTTTATAACCAATAAAAGTATTCACAAAAAACAGATATTATGAACCGTATTATATTTATCAGGCCATTTATTACGTATGCTTATTCAATTTAATAAAAGAATCCTAGGGAGAATCTGTATTATAACACTTTTGTTTGTTTTAGGCAAAACTCTTGTAACAAGTTGAAACAATAATAACGTACTTTACTAACGTTGACAGTTCAATATTTTGGCGGGAGTTTATCTGTCAAAAAGAGTGGCCATAGAGTTGTTGGAGATTTTACAAGCACAATAATTGTTATAGAATATTAACATCGAATTATAGATTAATACATTGAATATTTTTTAGATAGATAGTTTTAATATGTAAATCATTAATTACGAGGCATCTATAAGTCCTTATTTTAATTTGAACAATGTCTAATAGTTAAAATATTCTCTACAAAATGACTAAAGTTTGAAATAAATATTGATATTTAAGTTTGTATTTTAAATCTACAAAAACATCTCTTACCGAAAGGACTTTCATGAATAGGATATGTGATAAGTCATGATAAAGTAGATCAACGTTTTTAATTCATTTGTCTATTTAAACTAAAATGAATTTATTAAACTGAGTACTAAAAATACTTGTTATAATTTGACCTTGACAATTTTTTTTAAATATGTATTTAAAATCAACATTCTTACCTAGATATTATATCACTAGTTTTATTATATTATGACTTCATTCGCACTGGATCGTTTAATATTTTGCCAATGTCAAAGTTTTTATTTGTTATACGAATTAGTTTTCTTTTTTAATTATGGATTATATAGTTTCCATTTGATCGTGAAGTATTTTAGTATTATCATTTTTTTATTTTATCTTCAACTTCATTGACTTAAAATGTCATTATGACATATGTAACCTATCAATAAAGAGCTATCTGTTATCTGTTTTTCATCACTTTCACATTGTTTTTGTAACAGTTATAAACACGAATAATATTTAGTTTGTTGTGATATCTTATAGGTTACTATCATATATAATATGGCTGAGGATCGAATTGGTCTTTTATTCAAGGCTGCTACACTTGCGTCATCAATACAAGATAGCAAAACCCAACAAATATTAAAAAGTTACTACATGTATGTCATCCTTTGTAATATTTTTCGACATTAATCGAATAGGAGAAATCTTATATAATATAATGTCTACAGGTTGAAATGTCAGGAAACGACAGGGGGCTTTGGATTGCCAAGAAAATATTTTTCGAGGGACACGAGATGCCCTCGTTGTGGCATTGAATGGGATAGAGACACAGAGACAAAGGTTTTTATAAGATATATTCACGTTTTAATAATTATTATACTACAACTAATATACTTATATGAAACATTGGACTTTTCAGTTAACAACTATTAGATTAACAAAAAAACAAAGAAGAAGAATAAGGAGCAAGAAAAAAATTGTAAATGCTAGAAACAAAGAGTATTTATTCCACAGTAATAAATTGGTAAATATGATTTTATTACATAAAAAAATTATTATATACATAAGAACTATATTAATAAAAATATCATTATTCAAAATATTATTAATTGTATTTTTGTTATTGTTTTTTAGGAACAAATCTGTTCATTTTGCGGTCACAACATGAAAACATATATAACTAAACCAGAAAAATCTAAAGTAAAAATACCAGAGGTTGAAACACCAATAGAAGTTGAAGCTACGACTAATATTATAAAAGGAACAAAGAAAACTAACAAAACGCAACACCAAGCTAATGTTTATTGTCAGTCTAAAAATGCCTTTAATCTGAAAACAAATGGAAACAACTTGGCAACTACAATGAAGCCGCAACCAAAAGTTATAAAAAACAATAAGAAGAAAAAAGATAAATATGCCGGTTTATGTAAAATTGCAGTTGCAGCGGCCACGAAACAGAAGCTAAATAAACTAGAGCTATTTTTAAAATCTGCTAAATAATATGTGTTCTAGTCTATATTAGATAATAGATAGTAATAAGCATTATAAATTTGAACCACAACCACATAAAAATAAACAAATTACTAAAAATTTATTTCACATTAAAAATTAACAATATTTTTATACATATAGCTGTAGTTATAATTAGGACCATCTTAGTTAACAATCAGTTTTAATTCTTAGATATTATAAATAAACTAAGTTTTATGTACATTTTTGTATTATTATTAAATGTATATCCATTACATTTGTGTTTGTGTGCCCAGTTATAACATGTAAGTCACCATTTTTGAATGTTTTGAAGAAGTTGTATGAGTCGTTATTATTTATATATTTATTAACATCAATATTTTCTTTTGAACAATCGGATATTAAATTTATATATCCTATAGCCCCCGCTGCATCTGTTGGCCCATCAATACCATCAGTGCCGGCGCTTAATAAAAATATATTATATCCCGATAAATCATTTTTTATTTCATCAATATATTTTGAGAATTCTAAAGCAAGTTGTTGATTTCTCCCACCTTTTCCAGTACCTTTAACATTAACTGTTGTCTCTCCACCAAGAATTAAACACAAATCTTTAGTTTTTATCGAATCTAAATATTCATCGTCAATATTAAATTTAAAACCTGGTAAATTTAATTCATACAATCTATCTTTGATATTGTTATGTAAAATACCATTCTTAAAGTCGTAAAATAACTTTACCAGTTGCACATACTTATGTGCAATTTCACTTACATTCCCAACAACACTATATGAAAGTGCTAAAGGGAAGAAACCAATTGTCTTCGCTTCTAAAGCAGCTGCCTCTATACTAAGTTTATTAGAACCAATTATGATGTTTTCCACTTTATTTTTAGGATAGATTTCTATACTTCTAGTATCTTCTAAAACCTTTTTGATTGATGAAGGCAGTTCATTCTGTAATTTATACTTGCGTATGATGTTCATTGCGGCTAAGGGATCTTCCTCGTCTTTACAAGTAGGTCCGCTAGCAATTAAATCGATGGGATCATTAACAACATCAGAAAGGATAAGGGTTAAAACACTTGCAGGTTGTGCCTTTAATGCTAGTTTACCTCCTTTCAAATCTGATAGTCTCTTTCTAACTGTATTTAGCTCTATTATATCAGCACCTGAATTTGCTAATTTTTTAATCAAAGCAGTTTTTTCTTCCAAGGTTATAGGTTCCTTAGGCAAAGGCAACAATGCAGAGCCACCACCAGATAGTAAAACTATTAAGAAATCATTGTCTGTTAAATTTGTCACTAAATCTTTTATAGCTTGAGCTGTTTTTAAAGCATTTTCATCTGGTAAATTATTTAATGCTCCTTCACAATATAACATTTTGTCATTTCGATTTCTATAGTTATAACTTCCAATAGGAATGCTGATAATACCTTGTTTAATTTTTGAACTTAGAATATGTTCCAGCTCATTTGCCATATTTTGGACAGCTTTTCCACCTCCAACAACATATACATTTTTTTGTTTTAGGTTGTAATTTAATTTTGATACATGTAAATGTTGATTTATAGAGTCATAAGTAATAAATTTTTTAATAAGATTTTCTGGTAGTACAGTAGATACACTACTTCTAAATATTCGGCATAAATCATTTACAAGTGAAATAGCCATAGCAAATAATTTCAAAAATTAGATTAAGTAAATACACTCACAAATATATTCTTATCAGTACGTATTAGGTACATACAAAAAATCACTGGAATAAAGTGAAGCACAATACATTATACACACTACCAACAACTTGCGATAAGACGGAGAATTATCAAACTATTTTAGTTAAAATGATATATCACGGGATTTACATTGAATACTTATTAATTAAATAGTAGCAGTTTACATTCATAAGACAATTTTTGCAATCGATAAGTGAATAGAGAATTTAAAAGTAAACAAATTTCAAGAATGGAGTTATTCAATTAACTTTAAATCACATATTTAACATTTTGCATATCTTGTGTCAATGTTCATTAATTAGTAAGTAGTAGCACAATCTGTCAGTCAGCGAATAGTCAATAGAATGTATACTACATAGTAACAAATTAGTATCAGACCACCTAAGAAAGAGGAATACCATAAAATTCATGTAAACAATCAACTCATAAGTAACTCCGTTCCATTGTTTAAGTTGTTATATTATGTTCATAATTGAATAAAAAAACCTCAAAGTGAAAAGGAGTCGCCACTCGCCAACGACAAGCTTGGTATGAAAGAATAACAATGGAATTTAAACTTTAGTTTTAAGTGGTCAAGATCACATTTCAAATATTTATGGATTTTGAGCAAGTCTTAACAAGTCGGCGCAAATTTTAAATTTGTTTGACTAGGAATACCCAGTGGCCAGATCTCTACTCTAAATCGTTAGTCTTGTAGAGTTGCAAAGAAGTTTTAGTGGTACGTTTTGAAACTTGAATAGTTTTGTACTTTAAATAAATATTAAGTAAATATTATAGTTTAAAAGAAACTATGGATATACCTATTTGTTTTTCGAATAATTTTAGTAGTAAACAAAACGTGAGATCTTTTCAAAATGTGATTAATTTGAAGTTATTAAAAAGTGGTGAAGATATATTTCTCCAGCATATTGTAGAAGACGAATCAGTGATAAGAGAAATATCGATAGAATTTAGAGAAATTATGAAGAATCTGAAAAAAAATATCATCACCTACAACAAGAATGATTTTAAAGAATATTTCGTAAAAACCGATGATGATAAATATTTACATTCCGTAAATAAATCAAAAGTTTTTATCGGGTGTTGGGCTGCACTGTTGAAAATTGTTCCAGATAATTTTTATGGAAACAATCATAATAACAAATTATTTAAGAAAATTGTTAAAACTGTAATATACAGTATGAATCGTCAACACTTCAACTTCCGTAACATGATAAACGGTTGGGATTTGTCAATATATCCATGGAACACTCTCACTGCTGAAATTTCTTTTGATATTCTTCATTACAGTCTTGTATGGATTTTAAAAAAGTTACTATCATCCATAATAGTTTTAAACTTTTTTTGTTACAACATGCAAAAAAACAGACGCAGATGAAAATAAGCTTCATTACTTCTGGAAAAATGTCTGGCAAAGTTTTTATGACAAGAAAATATCAATAATGATAACCACGAGGACTATAAAGAAAATTGAACCTTACAGTCTAGGTAATAAAATTAAAATAAGATATAGTTATCGACAGAAATTAAGAATAAAAAATAAAATAAAAGAAATCCCAAAGTTACATTTAGTTTTGAAACAAAATAATGATTATAGACCAATTGTACGATACAAAAACGACGAGACAAATTTAGCTTCTAAGAATAAAATTAAAGAGCGATTATATTTTCTCAGAAAATTATCTGGAAAGCCTCAGGACAAAATTGAGAATCAATTTTTCAATTTTTTCAAGAAGTGGGAGATCAAACATAAACCTAAATTATATTTTATAAAAACAGATCTGAGTAATGCGTTTGGGTCTATAAATAAACGAAAACTACTGAAAATTTTAATTGAGCGACATGACAATTTCCAAAAGGCAGAGACTTCATCGTATTTAAAGAAGAAAATTGAGCAGACTTTTAAGGATTTTATTACAGAACTTAGGAATCCGCTCTTGGTTCGTGCTGGATCAACTATTTTCGAATGGAAGGAAGGTCTTGTACAGGGTTACAAATACTCTCCAGCATTATCTGAAATTTATTATTCATATATGGATGACATATATTTCCGCCATCATATAAATATTACAGACGACCTTAAATTGTTCATAAGAGTTGTTGATGACTATTTATACATCACAGATTCTTTGCAAGATGCCCATGATTTCTTAAAAGCTTTATCGAATTATAGAAACGTTAATTATAATAAAACAGTTGTTAATTTTCCGAATCAATCTATTAAATTTAGCGACGAAATTGTTTTTCTTGGATACAGCTATAATACAAAGACATTACACGTGAGTAGGGCCAATGCTGTAAATTCTGGCCAGATGTGTTTTAAAATCGGTTTTTCCCTTGCTATTGCGGATGTAGGAAAATTTCTAGAAAATAGAATCGGACAATCTGGGATCGAAATAAATGGACACATTTTCAATTTCTACTACAACAGTGAACAATTGATATGGCAACATGTGTTTGTGACACTCTGTCTTTCGGCCAATAAATTTTGTACAATATTAGCTATACTCAGTAATGAGACGGATATGTTTCGATATATGTGTATTTATAAGAGAAGAGTAACGGTGAAACTTTGTAATGCTATCATAGACACGCTTTATAGAAACAAACCTGAAGGCTTTATGTTTATTTTTTGTATTAATCATTTTCGTTATCTATCATTCAAAGCTTTATTGTTGTGTGCACAAAAAACTCCCAAATGTAACAAATTAGTTCCGTACATTAATGTAGAAATTGCAAAAACAAATTGCTTGTATGGAAAGTGGAGAGAACATTTTAGAAGGATGAGTAAAAACGGTTGTAGTGTTAGACAAGCTATAAAGGAGGTTTGTAGGAGGTCAGATTTAAGGGCCATTTTTAAAAACTATGATGTATTACCTGATGGATTACGTTGTTTTGATCACAAAAAATTCTATGTATAGGTTTAAGAAATAAAAATATATTGTAAGTGTAAAAAATATTTTAATTTCAAGTAAATTATTTTTTATTAATATAAGATTCAATTGGACGGAATCGGTGTAAAAAATTGTATTAACAGGAAATAAGATTTTAAAATAAAACCCTTGCTTACTCTACTAATTGTTACATAAGTCTTTCACGTGAAATATATATTACATTTAAATTGTTGTCTTATTTCTAATATTATCTAAGTACTAAAAATATCAGGCACTCGGCTGGATGGAATGAAATTAGAACTAATTATGTATTTTAGTCATAAAACTATCAAGTTTTATAATAATGCTATCAATAATATAGCAAACGCTATAAGATGTCCTACAACACCTTGCTTGTATGCACTTGATAAGAAATCTGGATCTGATGCGAAATAATACGAAGCTTGTGGCGCGTCACACGACACTATCCTAGCCGCTCGAGGCAAAGCTTTACCAGCAATAATCTCAGCGGAACGCTTCTTGTGTGAAAGCGGCTTTAGACGGACGGCTGAATCGCTGAATATTAAATCGGCGTACGGCGGCACTGAGTAAAACATACTGAAACTGAAAAAACAAAAATCACAATTAATAATAGAAATAGAAGATTTATGATAATTGTATTAATATATTATATAGTGTATATATTATGTACTAATGTTAATATACTATAATCCTTAAAATTATTTTTATGATTGATTATAATTATCATAATACTAAACCATTGTAATTTTTTAACCTCAATTTTTAAGTATGAACTTGCATTTGAAAACTATATACAGGGTGACTGGTGAATTACTATCAATATTTAAGGAGCATACTCGGTACATGATTCTCATTTGAATTATGTAAAAAAATAGGTACTTAATTTTTGACCAAATTTCCGTATAAATAAATAAAGTGTGTACACGTTCCAAGTGTTCCAAGTGTGGACGCGTGCGGCGGCGTGCTGATACAACAACACGCCGCCGCGCGCGTATGTGTGAGTGTGTGTGTATACCTAATCTGTAGGGTGTTCATACGATGCGTAATTAATTACATAACTTTTGGTTAACTTTACTTAGAAGTTTATTAATATTTATGTTATATTAATTTTTATTTTGTTATATATGATCGTCAAATATCACGTCCTCAAGTATCGATAGTAATTCACCAGTCACCCTGTATAGTAGATTCAACTATTTTGTAGGACATTACTGGAAGTAATGATGAACATTGAAAAACAAAACTGAGACTGTATCTCAAATAATATATTATATATGTATAATGGATTTATTACAAATTCTTTGTTTTTAAATAGAGACGCCAAACCTCGCTGACGTCACTAACTTCACTTCTTCCAGTACATCCCAAGATATTTTAAAATGAAACTTCATTTATCCTAAATGTTCCTATATTTCTCTAAGGTTCTTCATAATCACATTCTTTAAAGGTTCGCACTCACTGAACTCTGCTGTCGTTCGACCAGACATCATATTTATACTCAAATTCAAACATAGTTCTATTCTCCTTTTAAACAGCCTTTCATTCCCTTTTATTTTAACAATAATTAAATGTATACTAATTACCTGAATTCATCAGTCATTGTAGCTCCATATAATTGTTGTGCGTATACCATTAGATTTGAGTATGTGTCTAACTCAGTGTGATTTGCTCGTCCCATCAAAACAGATCCGGGTACCTTACCGAGATTACATTTCTTGTACTCATGCATTTTTTCACGTGTACCTGAAATTTTATTGAACAATTAGGATATATTAAATATTTTTTGAGAATTAAACTGTACTTAGTCTTATTTTATAAGATATAAATGATATAACAATAAAAAAATATGGATTATATCATACGAGGGAAAATAAGAAAATTCAATAAGAAAACATTGGAAGAAAAATTCATTAATTCGAGCAGAATTACAACCTGCTAACCTTATTCTACGTTCAGTTTCTTTTGTAAACTAAGCTTTTTGAAATTTGAGAATTTTGAAAGCATTTCAATCATGAAAAAAAAACTTGTATATTTTTACTAATAATTGCAAAAAATTATCTATGTGTCTTTTAATTAATAAAAGGTTTTTGATAGTTTTACACAGTAACGTAGCTAAGTCAACGAAATAAGATATAGGCTCTAATTAATATCAGAATTACAAGAAGTTTCAATGGTATGGTATATAATATATTGTATATATATGAGAATGTGACACATGGATGTCGCTGTCTGTTACTATTACGATTCTTCCAACACAGTTTTCTACATGACCGAGCACAGTTTAAAAGTCCATGCAGACAGAACCGCGTACAAAACTAGTATAACATATCCCCCCTATAAGCGAATAACTAGTTACTGGCTCACTACTACCCCCGCCTAGACCGCAGGCGCAAATCATCGTTCTGCTCCGCGCTAGTCGTTAGACTGCCGAGCGCATGCCGCCTCTCTAGTGGGGTACGTGAGACAGTGTATTATATCTATTATATTATATCGTCGTCATCAGCCTATCAACGCCCACGGCTGAGCAAAGGCCTCTTTCTCACATGGAGAAGGTTTGAGCATTAATCACCACTCTTGTTCAAGACGGGTTGGTGATTTCAAACTTATAATTGTGAAACTATAAGTCCAGGTTTCCTCACGATGTTTTCCTTCACCGTATGTCAGTGGTGTCTAAATACTCTCAGAAAGTACATATGACTCCGAAAAATCATATTGGTACTTGCCAGGATCGAACCCGCGCCCTCGTGCACGAGAGGCGGCCCCTTTAACCATTAGGCCACCACTGACTTGTACTATATACAGGGTGACTGGTGAATTACTATCAATATTTAAGGAGGATACTCGGTACATGATTCTCATTCGAATTATGTAAAAAAAATAGGTACTTAATTTTTGACAAATTTTCCGTATAAATAAATAAAGTGTTGACACGTTCCAAGTGTTCCAAGTGTGGACGCGTGCGGCGACGTGCTGATACAACACAACGCCGCCACACTCGTATGTGTGAGTGTGGGTGTATACCTAATCTGTAGGGTGCTTACACGATGCGTAATTAATTACATAACTTTTGGTTAACTTTACCTAGAAGTTTATTAATATTTATGTTATATTAATTTTTATTTTGTCATATATGATCGTCACAAATCACGTCCTCAAATATCGATAGTAATTCACCAGTCACCCTGTATATTGATTTAAACACTACACTCACCATCCGGACATAGTAGTTGCAGATCATCAGGCAGTAAGTCCCTCGCCCACCATTCTCGCCTCCTGCCGCCCGTGATCTCAGTGAGCGCGGTGTGCCTCACGAACGCTACATCCCCCCCTCCCTCAACCATACAACGTAACGCGCCCACGTGACCGAAGTACGGCTCATTAGCGTCACGACGACAACGCCTGATAAATGAAAACATTGATATAGTACGGACAATTTAGACATTATACCAAGTTAGCTAAATTTCCACCAAGCTGAAAATAGGTAAGATTGTTTCAAAAAATTTGAAAGTTAAGGTCAAAGTTAAAAATAATAACTAGAATGTGATTTCGTATTAGATTATTATTTTTAAAGTAAAACTTCGTTACTTAGCGTTACGAAAAGTGTGAAAAAAATTGTATCTCAGTCAGTAGTTCCGTTTGCAAGTTTGCTGGCGTTACGCATTTAGTTGGAGTGAAAGTAAATTTACTTCATTCGTGTGGTCTAAAGCACACTGGCTTTTCTTAGATTCTTAGTCGTATACACTAATACAAAATGTTTGATTTATTTGGTCATCATATACTATAAATCGTAAACGATACAAATGTAGAACCATTAAACTGTTTTGCTATAGTGATGAGCAATATAATAATGTTTTTATTATGCTGCGAAGATATCTACACAATACTAGTTCACGAATGTGTGTATATATGTATTATTAATGAGAAAACCATATAAAATACCTGAACGAAGCCCCATGACATAGATGACAGAGATTGTCGTGGGGTACTGTGTTTGCGTCGACGTACTCCGCTGATAGTGAACCAGATGCACAGGATTTACTGAAGTACTGGGCAGCGGCTTGAGCACCGTCACAGCCGTACGGACTAACAGACAATACATAACATTATATATTTATTTTATTTATTTATTTATTTATTTCTGAAATACCATCGGCATATTCACAAACTATATGTTGAAAAAAAATATATAAAAAAATAAACTTGTTCGGTGTGATACACCATTACAGGTATTTACATTTTACTTTAGTTAGAAGTTTATTAATATTTATGTTATATTAATTTTTATTTTATCATATATGATCGTCAAACATCACGTCCTCAAGTATCGATAGTAATTCACCAGTCACCCTGTATATGCAAATTCTTATTTATATCATTGGAGTTAATATTTATGTGAAATATATTAAAAGAATTGTAATTGTACACTAATGCATTCTTCATTTCAATATTTTCAAATGTAACATATTATAGTAAAGTCAATTAGAATTTGTTGATTTCATTATTTTTAATCTTAATGGCTATTGTAGTAACTGGTATCATAATAACTCCTCATAAATAAATAAATATATATGTATCTATTTATATATATATATATCTCACCGAATCCATCCATTGGATATAAGGTAAGCCAGAGGGTAAACCCAACCAGCGGCCATGCCAATGCCAGTGTGACATGTATTTTTTCCTCTCAAGTAAGTCAAGTCGGTATCTGGATCCTGTTCTTTAGCGACCGCCACAGCATAGTACCAGTTATCACCACTTGTATACACCTGGAATATTTAAATAGTTTGTATAGCTTTTTAATTGCATATAATAAAATCTATATATTGTATTAACTTCTTATTAATAATCTATAAAAACGCTCACACAAATATATACTAGCTACAAGTGTACTTACATACCCACAAACAAGAAGTACTATATAAATATACACTTACTATAGGTGAATTCACACAATCATAAATAAGAAACACACACATTATCCTTTTGCAATTTAGATATATATATCTCTCTCTCTCTTACACACACATCCCCCCCACACGTGCCACGCCCCCTATACAGGGTGACTGGTGAATTACTATCGATACTTGAGGACGTGATATTTGACGATCATATATGACGAAATAAAAATTAATATAACATAAATATTAATAAACTTCTAAGTAAAGTTAACCAAAAGTTATGTAATTAATTACGCATCGTGTGAACACCCTACAGATTAGGTATACACACACACACACACATACGCGTGCGGCGGCGTAGTGTTGTATCAGCACGCCGCCGCACGCTTCCACACTTAGAACACTTGGAACGTGTCCACACTTTATTTATTTATACGGAAATTTTGTCAAAAATTAAGTACCTATTTTTTTTACAAAATTCGAATGAGAATCATGTACCGAGTATTCTCCTTAAATATTGATAGTAATTCACCAGTCACCCTGTATAAGCTCACCTCCTGCATGAACGGCACCAGTCGGTGTCTGTACGCCGCGTGCAACATGTCCGCTGCGTCAAACAGGGCGAAATCGCACGTGCCCTCAGCGATCGCGCGCTCACAGTGACGTGTACTGTGAGATCGCCAGCATGAGAATGTTGGAGACATAAACGCAGCTTTCAAAGCAACCTGGGAAGATATATGTTCGTATTACATGTAACTTATAGGCATTCTCGTTGAGTTGTATTCATAAGAAAATAATGAATATGCAAACCAGTTATAAGCGACATCCATCGTCTTTGTTGCCTGAATTATTACATAATTGTTTCGTGAAAGATAATGTTGGACAAATTTTGAAAAATTATTTTGAAATGATATAAATTGTACGATATTCTGATCTGTAAACTATAACTGTAGTGTCATCAAAATATGCCCGCTATTTCTTGCATGAAAAAGCAACAAAGATTCATACATGCTGATAGCTGTATATAACACTAGCAGTATATATTTCAAGTGTCTAGTTCTTGTATAATAAATTTAACTTCTAAATAACGCACTGTTAAACTGTAAAGTAATTATTGAGACTTCAATCATTTACAAGTACTAGTAAAAGCTGCTATTACGCCAATACATAGTTCTTTTTGTACCTATTGCATGTTACTTTAGACCTACCCTCATTTTAATACATTTTTCCATCTCAGCTTCACTAGTGACACATAACACCGCCCTCTTAACTGGACAGTCTCGTATGCCAGTAACAGCTCGTTCAGCTTGATCGCCAACAAATTCGTTGTTCAATATGTGCTTGGCGACTTGCTCACTTTCTTTCAGTACACGAAAGTTTATAGTTGCGTCCTGCAAATATATGTATATTATTGTTATTACAAACTGTTTACTTATATACCTATGTGCGTATACGGCACAGTTTACTATTGTTAGAGGTACAGTTTATGATTTGTTTTTTTTTTAAATGTTCAGCGTTACTTCTAATGTCCTACAAAATGGCTGACGTCAGTATTTATAGTTTTCAAATACATGTTAGTACTTTAATGTTGCTATTATAAAATTAGAATGATTCAGTATTATAATTATTTATATTATAAGGTTTATAGTTAATTATAATTAGTACGCCACGGAAAGCGTAACTTGTAACACAATATTATTTAAAAACAATGAAGTGTAGAATATAAAAATAGATTTTGAATAGTATAGTGGTTTAAATGTGGTTTCACATACCTGTACTAATAAATCCGTTGTGCCATTTGATTGAAATAGTTGGAAAGGATGTGAAGATGTACTAGAAAGAAAAAAAACATATACATAAAAATATATACGTCGTTATTAACATCAGAAAATTAAGAAATCGTTGGCGGTAGATGACAAGTAACAAGATCAACTAACAGACATTTACATCTTGTCTGCCCGTGATCACGGTTGTTGAAAAGTAACCGAAATATCGGGATTATGATGTTAGAAATACTTATAAACGCGTAGTTATAAAGAAATTTAGTTTTATTTTAATGTATACGCTCGAAAATCTTAAATTTTTTTGTTCAATAGTGCTCTGAGACATGTTGAATTTTTTTGTATTGTAATAAAAAATCATATTCTGTGGTACAAATATAACATATGAATTAATTTAGGGATTTAAAAAATAAAATACATTATTTAATATTTAATCAAGAATCATATTTTTGTCAACAACAATGTACAACTAATAAAATAAATAATAATACGCAACTCGAATTCTTTAATAATTTACTCCTACCAGTCAATTTCAATTTAACATGCAAAAGATGGATGAAATTTTAAAGTCATAGAATAAAGTTTTCTAATAATGATATATAAATATATATTTCTATATTATAATATAAATTTTAATAATAATATATATCTTTTAATATCTCACCTTATATTCCTATAATTGTCTCTATTGTAGTCATACTGGTATTTCGTTCTGTCCGTAGTAGAGCTATAGCTATATGGATCATTGTTCAAAAAATCATTAGTTCTATTTGAATTCCGATTCTCTGGATTTGGTTCTCCATACAGTTCAAGTATTTTCATAAGAATATTTTGATATCTGAAATTTATATAACATTATTACTATGACATAACATTAAATGGTTTGAATTTGGCTGGAATTAGTTTAGTTATTTAAGATCAAATACAAAGTGAAACCAAAAATCCTGGAGTACCTCAAACTAGAAACAGTATGTAAGTTGAGGCTGAACCTAATTGTCATGTGAATTTCTCAAAACTTAATGCTTGTTCATATTCAATTAAAGAAAAACTACCAAACATATTATATTTGATCAATGTATTGTATATAGGTTTACATATTACACTTTAAATACAATAAAAGAAGTATAGTGAAATTGCTGACAAGATTACATGTTTGAGTAAATATTTTTATTTATTAGACTAAATCTGTAAGTACTCTTTTTTGGATTATAGTATTACAATATTAAGTACAGTGTAAACTCCATGTAACGTCACACGATTTAACGACAAATTCTTACTGGGGCAGCAAAAGACGTGAAACAAAAATAACAGACTATACGCAATAGCGTTCTAATAATATTTTTTTTTATGTACATAGGTACTAACACTAGTCTGAAATAAACTTTGTCTTTTTCTAATTTTGATTTTTCTTCTCTCTATTTAACGACAACTCTATAACGCCATAAAATGCACACTCCCTTCAGTGTCGTTATATAGAGTTTACACTGTATATCTTTCTAGTGCTTTAGAGTATTTCTTAACATACTTAGTCCTCTGTGCAATGGTTGCAGCACTGCTAGTCACAATAGCATCAGCGGGAACTCTACCCCAATGACAATGTTCCCATTGTGTCACTTCTGCTCGTGATCCATCACGGCATATCAACTCAAAGCTAGATGCTGTCACACCACCTGGAATTAATGGCAAACCTTAAGTTATTTGGCCATTATATATTAATTCTTGAGACATACTTCGAAAGCAGCCCTATATAGTAGGTTCTTTTTAAATTTGCTTAGGTAAAGAGAGGGGTTTGGACAGTGGAGGTGAGCGTTTAATTCGCGTTAAACAGGGGCCCCCTAAACCTACACTTGGGTCGCAAGTCCCAGGCACTGTTGAAGCTCCTTTCCCTAAAGCGCGATAGACCCGGCACCCGCACGATGAATGCATGAAATGCTGAGAGGTTTCGGCTCTATGTGTCTTCTATTCATTACTTTTATTATGATGATAGAGTATTTGAATGAAAATTTTATTACTTGATATAAGTAAAGGTAGGAGTTTCCAATAAGAAATAGCAGAATTTTTTCTTGACAGATATTTTAAGAATCTTCATTGTTATTAGTGTTCTATATGTTGATGAAATAACATTCAAACTTTTGATGTTAAGAAAACTATAACTATGCATATAAAGCTACTGACTGCATAGTTAAGACAAATATATATAATACATATATATCTCTCATATATAACTATTTTGATATCATTTCAATAGGATAATGATATATATTATCCAGATTTTTGAACAATATTTGGATACAAATACATTCTAATATGCTTACATCTAGTGTTGCTAATTCAAACATTGGTTACATATTTGCATTGTACTTATCTAAATATTTACATAAAATATTCATAGTTTATTATTAACTAGCTTTCCGCCCGTAGCTTCGCCCGCGTGGAGTTCGGTTATATCGCGTTTCCAAGAGAATCTTTCAAAAGTCTGGAATAAAAACTATCCTATGTTCTTTCTCAAGGTCAACTCTATGTCTGTACCAAATTTCATTAAAATAAGTTTCGTGGTATAGGCGTGAAAGCGTAACAGACAGACAGACAGAGTTATTATCACATTTATAATATTAGTAGGTATTAACAGTTTTATTACCCAATATCTTTCCCGATAGTAATGCATGTTGTATAGTAGTATCTCTAACAAATGCTATATCTCCAGTGTTATTGGCGACCAGACATTTAAGGGCACCTTCGTAACCCGCATATGGATCGGCGAGTGTACAACGAAAGCCTGCTTCGCCACTGCATAGTTTGCATAGTCTGTAATGTTATTTATTAAGTATTATAATTTTAACAAATATGTATTATATAATAATGTCGGGTATAGGGCAAACCCGCGTGACTACCAATGGATAATTCCGCATGTCTACATTGGAAGCAGATTGACAGAAGAAAGTTTGAGCTGAAATATTTTCTATATTAACGACTTTTAAGGTAATTTTTTCACAATTAGTAAAACATTAAACTCTAAATAATTGCTAATAGTGAAAATTACTTTGAAAGTAGTTAATTTAGAAAATATTTCAGCTTAAACTTTCTTCTGATAATCTGTTTCCACTGTAGGTATCTGGAATTATTCAATACTATTTACGCGGATTTGCATTATTCCCGACGATATATTTCTTTGATACATACTTGTCAGGGTTATCACCTATAGGGTTATAGATATCTTTTAATGAATTTGGTGCACACGATTCCCCAAAGAACTCAACGGCTGATTTCACATGATTATTACAATCAGTTATTTTGAGACCACCTTCTTGCATAAGCTGAAATAAAAATAATAATTATACCAACTTACATACAAATATATAATTAGAATTATGTATTAAAAAAAATCAATAACTGGTGTTACGTACATTGAATATGATTCAAGAATGGTTCAAATTTCAGTCAACCCTGAATAATTAGAATAAAAACTCTTTGGATGATATTAAAGGTAATTTCAATGAAACATATTCCTACTAATATTATAAATTCAAAAGTAACTCTGTCTTTTACGCTTTCACACCCAAACCACTGAACTGATTTTAATGAAATTTGGTACAGACATAGAGTTGACCTCGAGAAAGAATATAGGATAGTTTTTATCCCAGACTTTTGAAAGGTGAAAGGTTCTCTTGGAAATGCGATATAACCGAACTCCACACGGGCGAAGCTACGTTCGGAAAGCTAGTAAATATATAATTTTTATAATAATATTTAATAGAATTTGTGAACTTACAACATGTATTGGCATGACCCAGCCTGCTAGAGATCCCACAAGTGGGAAACATGCTCGAGCCCCTCTTAGGCCATGAAGACCAGATCCAGGTTGAACGGCAGACAGACTGCCTTTTTTGACTACAGCCACTGTATATTGGTATGGTTCATTCCTGCCATATAACTAGAAAAAAAATATTTGAACATTAAAATTTTTTTATTAACTTTTAAATGGCATACAATAACATCTCCTCTGTCTATGATAATGATTGCCCATTATAACATTTGCTGAAAAGTAGCCGAAACTACGGGATTATGTAGTTTCTGACAAAAATAAAGTCGCAAATAATCCGAAAAATATTTTCATTTAAATGAATAAAACTCCCGAAAATCTTAGATCTTATAAGCATACACATGTATTTAGCTCATTAGTATGTATATGTAAATACTCACTTCTTGTAATATTGGTACTAATGAATGATAACGACCGGCTACATACACCTCTCCGGCATCCAAAGCCAGGAGTGATGCCACTCTATTGTCAACCCATGTCATACATTCTTCAGTGTCAAATGCCTGTAACAGTTTATATCATTGTTATGTACTGAAGATAAAACACGAATAAAATTAAAATACATAGCAACCAAGCTTTTAAATAATTTACCCTTTTGCATTGAATCTCTATCCAATCTTTGCCGAACAGCGATTTGTCTTGCATAGCTATTTTAATTAATTTTTCACATTTTTCATTTTCCGCTACAGATGTTGTGCACCATGTTAATATATCTTCTCCTTCAATTTTCGGGGTTAATGGAATACTATTAGATAAGATATCATTGTTGTAGTCGGCGTTGACTAAGGCTAAAGAAACATTGTTTATAGTTAATGGTGTATGTTATAATATATACAAACAGATATTATTGTTTCACTTACTGAAAGACAAAAGTCCTAAAATTATTTTTAATTGAATCATGATTGTATTTATAATGTCATTATATCACTAAAACATAAAAGTATAGTCAATAAAACAATCGTTATAATAATCAGATTTGGACACACCCGAAACAAATTGAATAGTTAACCGCAGTTTATATGGCTGCTGTCATTTAAAGTTTATGACAAATGTCAACACAGATAACAAAAACATTAATATACTCAGTTTAATTTCAACCAAATCAAACTTGTTTTCTATTATGTTGTAAAAGAATTTAGTAATTAATTTAAAAAGTTTTTTTCACGCTATTTGATATTATAACTTTTTCCGAATGACAAGAATTCTTATTTACATTAAATAAAAATATTAGTAGAAGTCGATGTTTTCTTGGGACGTTTCTATTGTTGCCATTTGACTGACAGTACACAAATTTACGTTTGACAAATATAAAACCCAAGATCTAGGTTCGAAATTTTGTAGCGTGTTTTGTATGGCACGTGTGGTAAAAAGTCCTATTATTCGCTGAAAATAACTAAATATTTAATAACATAGGTATGTATTTGCACGAATATTTCATTCATACACTTTTTTTACTATACCTACCTAGTTGTGATGTTATGGTACAGATGACACAATTTGTTTTTATTAGTTTATTATGAAATTAAAAATATATTTCCTTTAGAATGGTTGTCTTCACATGCGGTCACTGCGGCGAGTCAGTTCAAAAACCGAAAGTTGAAAAACATTATATGACAAAATGCAGGAATAGGAACCCAAATCTATCATGTATGGATTGTTTTAAAGATTTTCTGTAAGTATTTTTAACTTTTCATTATATTTAATATAAAAAGTAAATAAATATTATTATAAGCAAGGCCCTAGGAAGTATATTATGTAAGAAAATAGTATAATAATATAGTAAACAATTAAATATTTTAGTTAAGCACTAGGTCCACCATGTGGCTAACACTTTTGAATAAGGTGGATGGTATTCAACTTTTTTATTTACAGCCAATAGAAAACCAATCAAGATAACAATATTTATGGAAGTAGCACCATATAATTGTATTTTCTGTAATATTTTAAAATAAAAAAGCGGTTTGTTTTCTATTGAAACAACTTCCATATGTTTTTAGGGGGACTGATTATGAGGCTCACACCAAATGCATCACAGAAGAAGAACGTTACTCAGGCAAAGGTTTTACTGCTAAGGAGAAGAAAGGTGAAAAGAAACAGAACGCCTGGGTGGAAATGTTACAGTCGGTGCTTGACGAGCAGAAAAATGCATCCAGAAATGTCTTAAGAATTATTGAGACAATCAGTAAGCATAACAATACTCCAAGAAAGAAGCCCAAATTCATCAATTTTGTAAAAAATGTGTGCGGACTGAAAACAAACCCAAAAGATATAGATCAAGCATGGGATTTAATATCTGTTAAACTATCAGCGCTTTCGAATATGAATGCCAGAAATGGGAATAAAAATGAAAAGGACGAGACCAAAGTTAATGGTGCTAATGATGAAGAAAATAAGACTGACACTCAGAACGGTGATGTTAACGGCAAGTTGGATGATGGAAACGAAGAACCGGAGAATGTTGAAGAAGTGAAGAATGCTGAGGAAGAGAGTGGAGAAGTGAAGAAGGAGGTTAAACTATCAAAGAAACAAAGGAAAGAGGAAAAGAAACGTCTGAAGTATGAAGCAGAATTACAAAGTGCTGAAGCACCACCCGAAGATGACGCTCAAGAGGAAGTTGAAGTACAGAAGAAAGGCAAGAAAAACAAAAACAAAGTTGCAAATGGTGTCCCAAGTGTTGAAGATGATTCAGATAAGAATAAAAAACGTAAAAGACAAGACACCGTCTCAATAACTGAGGTTAGCGAACCCGAAGTTGTCGTTGAAAGTGTTTCAGTTAAAGAGAAGGCTAGTAAGAAGAAATTAAAAATGGAAAAATTGGAGAAGGAGGCAGAAGATGTATGCCTTCACGACCAAAATGTTGCCAGCACTGAAAGCGATAGCGTTACCAACAATAATGGTAAATTCAACTGGCATGAAGTAATTTTGTCAGTGTTACAGAAGAAAGGCAATGAGTTGCCATTTAAAAGACTTCAGAAGAAAGTTCTCTCTGAATACACAGAACTTACTGGCTGCGAAGTTGATGATAGGATTGCTGATAAATTTATAAAAAAATTGAAAAGTGCTCCCAGGGTTAGGGTTGACAAAAATAGAGTTCTACTATTGGAAGAATAAATATTTAAAGGCATTTTATATAAACATTGAAACTGCCATTGTAATTTCAAATATCGGTTAGATTAAGTTTTTAATCATTGCATCATGCAATACTCTGTAACAGTTTATAAATATAAATTATGCCAAAATAAACATTTCTTGAACTACCTACATGGGTGTTGTTTTTTATTTTTCTTTATTTAATGTGGAAATTAAAATCGTTTTTTTTTTATAAATTAGTAAAGAAATTGCAACACATTTTTCATTTCTATTCGGTTTTAGGAGGCTGACTTATATCACAAAATAAATTATACATAATATATGTATACTAGAAGACCCGGCGAACTTCGTATCGCCCTACTTTACTCGTACTTTTTATTATTTATATTTTTGGACTTTACCTATTAAAGTCATAAATCATCGTGTTTCGAAGTGCGACAGAATGATTGACATATTAGTTAGTTGTCAAATCTTATGTCAAAAAAAAACGTTTGTATCAACAACTACTAATAAATTAAAAATAAATTTAAAAAAACATTGTCCAGCTTGAATCCCCTTGAACACACACAAAAAATTTCATCAAAATCGGTCCAGTCGTTTGAGAGAAGTTCAGTGACTTACACACTCACAGAAGAATTTTATATATAAAGATTATCTTGGCATAAAATAAGAATACATATTTCATTCATTCTGCCTTTACCGGTCAAAGCAGTTTTCGTAAGAAAAGCTTCCTTTTTATCGTCGACTTTCCATTGATTGTGTTCCCATGAAAGAGCTTTTAGATTTTAGTGAGTAATATGTAAAAGCCTTCCCGGAAATTCCAAATCGAAGGTACAAGGGCTCACATACAATCTTTTAAAGTAACCTCTATATAATACTTAAACATTGATGGAACATCGTGGAATTTATTAATATATTTATTCTTAAGAATAGATAAATGTATTTTTATTGTTTTGATTTTTGGGAGATACTGAAATATATCTCCTGTTTGAATTTTATGAAATGAAATTTATTTCGGGTTAAACATTAAAGGATTTCCACCAAAGCTTTTAAGCAAAATAAAAATTGTGTCGCATAAATATTAATGACTAATGTTGAAATACACATTACCATAATAAAAGCACTCTAAAATGTGTATAACGTACTGAAAAGTATCAAATGAATGTAATATTTTTATGTTAGTATTATCTGTGTCGACATTCATTTACAATGTAACTTCATTTTATGGAATGGCCGCCTAGCTTTCGTTAGCACACTCACGTTATATTTTATAATGGAAAAATTTAGCTTTATACAGTTTGAAATGCTTTAAAGCTTAGCTTTAAAAACCTACGTTGAGGTAGATTTTTGAATCAGTCTTTAGTGCGATAACTATACCAAACAATAGTAATAAAACAAACACTTCATTTTTAAATGATTACGATATAAAGCATGTAATAATTTTACGAAAAGTTGGAAGTACATTAATAAAAGACAATTTGTTTTATTATTAAACATATACTATAACTAAAACGTTTATCTTTTGTGATTCTAATTTAAATCTCGACATTTTGTTACTTAGAATCAAAAGTAACCAGTTCATTGTTCTAAAAACAGTTGAGAAAAAAAAGTTCATTTTGCTTTATTCAATGAATTTAAATATAAAATCATAAACGGCCAAGATAATCAAAAGAAAGAAGAAAAAATATTTTAATTAAAGCTTTAAAGATAACAAAGGAAAAAATGTAACAAAACCTTTTAAACTTATCTTAGACTATTAGTATTTTACGTCTTAATTTGTTTTAAATTTAAACTAATAAAATTAATGTTATAACTTATAATAGATTTCTTAGAAAAGCTTCTTCAATAGTTATCTATAATTAAAGTTTATGTAACTTTCGTAATTAAAAAGATTTCCTCAACATTTTTTCAATTTCCTTTTCTCAGAAGAAACTAATGGATATCTGGAAAAGATTTTAATAAATGTGTTCTCACGAAGATTTATACTGAATTTCGAGGGAACAAAACTGGGTCAATTATATTATATTATAAAAGTTTTTATTGTAAAATATATTATCACCACAGCTAATGTTTGTCCTCTTAATTAATATACGAGAGATGTCTATTCATATATGTATATGTTTTAAAATATATGAAGTGATATATATAAAATTAAAATTGTATGCAAACCTTCATCTAGAAAATTATTTTCTGTAGATCAGTAAACTTAACACAAGTTTTAATAGTCACACTAAATATTAAACTTCACCTTTTCCTTGCAACAATCTACCTTAATATGATAATGTGTGAATAGTTATAAATGAAAAATCTTTATGGTTCCGTACTACTGACAGGACGCAAAATTTGGGTACGCACGGTAAGCTAATCCTCACGTTATAAATAAATAATTTAGGCGGAATTAAATCCGTTGCTGTTTCACAAATTAAAATGAATAGTAAGAACGACTTGTTATATTTGAATCTATCACATATGACAGAATTAGGAACATAGCAGAGGCGTGCACAACATACGAGTAGATGCAAATAAGCACTGTATACCCTACCCATATAAAACAACTAAACCTACATTCTTACTCGCATACTTTTAATCATATATTACGAAATACAATTGTTTACAGACATTTAAAATACATTTGATTCATGATTTGTTAATAAGTGCCATCTATCCCTACTAATATTATAAATGCGAAAGTAACTCTGTCTGTCTGTCTGTCTGTCTGTCTGCTACGCTTTCACGCCTAAACCACTGAACTGATTTTAATGAAATTCGGTACAGAGATAGAGTTGACCTTGAGAAAGAACATAGGATAGTTTTTTTATCCCAGACTTTTGAAAGGTTCTCTTGGAAACACGATATAACCGAACTCCACGCGGCGAAGCTGCGGGCGGAAAGCTAGTAAAGTACATAAAATGAAACATTTTACATCGGCCGCTGCTAACTGCTAGCGACGTTAAGCAGCCAGAGTGGCGGTATGCACGACCACTCTCTGCTTATTTTCCATACAAAATTTCTCAAGGACGATCTATAGGTAAATCTCGTGTATGTATGCAGGAAATATTTGTATGTGTGTGTCTGTAAAACTAACACATGCTTAGCGTTCGAGAAGCACTGATTATTTTGTATTGCTTAAAAATAAAATATCGTAGAGAGTCCGTCAATTGTCAAATTAAACCTGGCTCTTTGGTTGGTCGGTAAACTGTTCATATATTTTTTTCGCCATTTTATTGTTATTGAAGAAAACAAAACAGAAAGACAAATGTAATCGTTTTAATCAATGTTTAAATGAAATTAATATTTTCTGATTACTTCGCGTGTTTTATTATGTTTAAGAACTACATACTCCCGACGCGACGTTTCGATTACTTTGCAGCAACCGTGATCACGGTAGACATCTGGTCTGCACGTTAAAAATAGTAAAAACATTATTTTGATTTAAAATTTAAATCAATCCTTGCGAAAGATATCATTATTATCAATGTTTTAGAGGAGGAAATGATGAAAATTGGTATTTTATTTTTCAAACATATTTTGTTTACCCCAAATATCTGTGCACGCCACTGGTATATAAAGTTAAAAATATTGTCCAGTAGACTAAACTTAGAGGTACATCTAATTAATTACATGTAATGTATAAGTAAATTAGTATAAAATATCTTTTAATACATTTTAGTGATTCTAATAAGTAAGTACATTAAGTGACTACCTATATAATTTCTCTAGTTACAATTCGTTCCTGCCAATCGTTATCTTTATGTTCTACGCAATAATATTAAAGTAGTAATAAATATATATTTAAAGGCCCCAACAGTAGGTAATCTTCCAAACCAAAACACATTTATACTCGTAATGTCCTTCCAAAGACGATGACAGTAAGAAATAGTCGCGGTGTGAGTCTCAGTACTTGTAATACTTGAGCCGTTGGATTTCGTTTATTAAAGCCGTCTATTTATAAAGATCATGGAGACGTCTTTAGATCTTGACTTAAGGGTAGTGGTTGAAATAAATAACAATAAACACAACCTTGAGGTCGGGATCAAAATACTTTAGAACATAACTAATGTCATTGTATTAAAGCGTTAATGGTTATTCAATTATTTTTGGTATCTATTCAAATAGCTTCTGTTTTTGAGAGTGTGTGTGTGTAAAATATCTTTCTCATTATTTGAAGTAACGAAATAAATTTAGGACAATAGTTTTTTATAGGTGCTGTAACCTTACACGAAAGTTTAATTTAAAATAGACGTTCCAAAGTTTTCGACCAGAATAAAGAAATAACTAGATTTTGTTACATATATTGTATTTTTCGTAACAATAAGCGGTTTATGTTCATAACTACAATCGTTTCCAAAAACTTAGTTCTTTTCATGCTATGGCATCATTCGCACTGGAATCATGGAATATTTTGACAATGTCTACTTTTTATTTGTTGGAAAAACTTTCCACTACTAAAACCTATAAAAACATAGCATACCATTTTTTTAAGTTAATTTGATTATATATTATGTTAATATAACCTTTTTATTCCAATTGATATAAAATTATAAAAGTGTCATGGAATGTATGTCAAAACATGTATATTTTAGTTGACCAGGCTTTAAACAAATTAATTTAAATATGACTGCACGTCAAAAACATTTCGCTATAGGTATATCCTTATTTTGTTATTGTCAGTGACGGCTTAAGAAAATGAGGCTGGCCTCATTCTGGAACTTGTTTAAATATTCATTGTTCACTATAAAACGGTTTAATACATTCTGACAACGTGTGATTCATCAGAATTCATCTGACGGAGTGATTTTAAGTTACTATTAATTTATTAATTTCATTAACTGATGAAAACTACAAGAGCTAAACAATTTGCTAATGGTACAAAAACATAAAATTGATGTTATGTTTTTAATACAATTTCTAGGAAAATGTAATGGTTTCGGAACTTTGTTTTAGTTTTTAATGAAACACTAGTTTTATATAAAGTAACAGCTCACTTATAAAAAGCGTATGAGTTATTCTGAAACGATAAC